CAAACACCGCAAAAAAACGCAAACACCGCCGCCGCAAAAAAAACGCCCGCATCGCCCGCCGCCAACGGCGAAACGCCGTAAAAAAAACGGCAGCACGCCGCGAAGCGCAAAACGCCGCAAAAACGGCCGCCCGCCGCAAACCGCTAAACGCCGCAAAAAACGACCGCCCGCCACCCGCCGCTAACCGCAAATAACCGCCGGCCGCCGGCAACCGCAAAACGCCGTAAAAAACGGCCGCCCGCCGCAAACCACAAAACGCCTCAAAAAACGGCCGCCCGCCGCAAACCTCAAAACGCCGCAAAAAACGGTCGCCCGCCGCAAACCGCAAAACGCCGCAAAAACGGCCGCCCGCCGCAAACCGCCGCTAAAACGGCCGCCGCCGCCAAACGCAAACAGCAAAAACACCCGCATCGCCCGCCCGCCCGCCGCCAAACACAAAAACCGCAAAAAACGCAAACACCGCCGCAAAAAAAAAAACGCCCGCACCGCACGCACGCCCGCCGCCAACCGCAAAATGCCGCAAAAACGGCCGCCCGCCGCAAAGCGCTAAACGCTGCAAAAAAAAAACGACCGCCCGCCGCCCGCCGCTAACCGCAAACAACGGCCGACCGCCGGCAACCACAAAACGCCGTAAAAAACGGCCGCCCGCCGCAAACCACAAAACACCGCAAAAAACGGCCGCCCGCCGCAAACCGCAAAACGCCGCAAAAAACGGCCGCCCGCCGCAAACCGCCGCTAAAACGGCCGCCCTCCGCCAAACGCAAACAGCAAAAACACCCGCATCGCCTGCCCGCCCGCCGCCAAACACAAAAACCGCAAAACCGCAAACACCGCCGCAAAAAAACGCCCGCAACGCACGCACGCCCGCCGCCAACCGCAAAACGCCGCAAAAAACGGCCGCCCGCCGCCAAACGCAAACACCGCCAAAAACGCAAAAACGGCCGCCCGCCGTCAAACGCAAACACCGAAAAAAAAAACGCAAACACCGCCGCAAAAAAACGCCCGCAGTAGGCAAAACGCAAACACTGACGCATTATTAAGACAAATATGGCGCCCTGCGGCAAATGTGGTGCATTCATATCTGCTGTTTAAGCAGCCATCCCTTAATTACAGCGCATCCTAATCGTCCAATGTTCGACAAAGTTACGCACATTCTGCGCTTTGCGGCAAAAATGGCGCTTTGAGACAAACGTGGCGCACTGCAACAAACATGGCGCATTCGTTCATGTCGCTTAACAATTCATCCACCCACCAAATTCTAGCCTAATCGGACGTAAACTGAAGAAGTTATGTACATTTGAATATTTCACTATAAAATATCTCCGCAACGGAGGTGCCCAGATTTGCACGTGTGCCACGTGACCACCGGTGGTGCAAGTAGGACTTGTCCCCTCACTGATTGCACCATTTTAGTGTTCCTGGATTGTGCTGTTTTCGTGCTTATAAGGCCACAAATCGGCAAACACACGATAATCTGAGAGGTACGCGACTCAAACACGTGGCCACGTGGCACGTGCCGGACCTCTGATAGCTTCACCGTTCACGCCACGTGATGACTTATCGACGTGGCCATCAGCATGTAAAAGATGACCCCGGCCGGTGTCACCGTCTCTGAACAGTGGACGGCTAAACTCGAAAAACGGGAAATTTTAGGGAAATTTCACCTTTCGAATATATAATTTCCCCAGAATTTTAACTTTTTCATTTTACAAAAAATCCGAGATAGCAGTTTTCTAGCCCCCTTCATTCTGTGACTATACCCGTTTTCAGATTGACCCTATCATAAAAACTGACGGCCTGACGGGTATTTCCCCCATTCCTTGCATTTCACAATGCTAGTATATTTAAGCACCAAAATTGACCCCGTGCCACAGCACGTGCAATAGCACGTGCGCCACGTGACCACCAGTGCTACAAGCTGGACTCATCTGCTCACCGGCTGCACTGATTTGGTGTCGCTAGGTGAAGTCGTTTCCGCGCCATAGGACCCCCAGTTGGCCAATGTCGGATTTTCCCGGAGGTTACCCCATCAAACACGTTTGCACGTGGCACGTGCTTTTCAATCGCCCCATATCTGACCCATACCACGTGATAGCCGACACCCCGGGGCACAACATATTGGAACATTTTCAAAATCTAACGTGGAAATTTTTGGCAAAATCGAGTTGAAAATAATTTTTCGAATTCGCCGTAGGCTCAACATGGGGTAAATGTCCGTCAAGATTACCCGAAATTGTACCCTATGATTTTTAAATAATTAACATCAAAAGTTGAGGTGCCAGCCCTAGATCCGACCCTAAAAATATCAGCAAATATAATTGACGAAATTTTTCGCAAATCAAATTTCCAATTTTTCCCCATGTTAACCCTATGGGAAAATGCACGTGCCGATTACCCCAAAACGGGTTAATTATATTTCAAGCGACCGATGCCAGCCGGTAGCTCCCCCATACGGGACCAAACGCTGAAAATGGCAAAAAATTCTACCGTGCCGTTTTTCTCGGAATCAAAATGTCCTAAATCGCGGCCGAAACGCTAAACACCCCCCTAGAGAGGTAGCTCAGGTTGGGATTTTCAATAGAAAATCACAATTCTAAAGAATAGTGATTGTTCTTAATTGAAAAGTCCCAACCTTCGGTTATTCCTGAGTTATAGAATGGCTGCCATAGGCGACAACGGTCATGTGACCTCCCAAGGTCACCGAGGTCACCTGAGAGGCTGAGATCACCATTTTCGAAACGGCTGATGAAATCGCATACGCTGAGTCGACTGGTGGCGTTTTCGTCTCGATCGGCCCAGTAGTTCCTGAGTTATAGAATGGCTGCAATAGGCGCGTCAATAGCCGTTTTCACGACGGCCATCTGATACACATTTGGTGCAGATTAGGTGCAGATTTGGTCAAATTAGGTTCAGTGTATCTCTTAGTAGCTATCAGCTAGGGTTGCAATAATTACTTATACCTAGGCCTGCTTTGTCATATCAGAGAGTATCATCGATTAAAATTATAAATTCATAAAATGAAGATATTTGCTGCACCAGAGATTACGTGCAGATTTGGTCAAATAAGGTGCACTCGCCGGATAGCCCGTCGTGAAAACGGCTAATGCCAAGTTGACCTTTTGAGGTTACCCAGGTGCAGGTCACTTGAGGTCATCATCATCGAAACGGCTGACAAAATCGTATCCCCTAATTCGAATGGTGTTTCGTTCATCCCGATCGGTCCAGTGGTTCCTGAGTTATAGAATGCTGCAAGGGTGGCGGTCGAATAGTGTTGCCCCTATTTGGCAAAGTTGTGGACTGGTGCGTTTTGCGGCATAAATGGCGCACTGTTACAATTGTGGCGCATTGCGGCAAGGGCAGTCCTTTGTATGTGTTGTGCATCCGTCCCCAAAATTGAATCCAAATCGGATCATGTTTGACAAAGTTACAAACATTTTGCGATTTCGGGCGATTATGGCGCATAATGACAAATGTGGCGCGGTGCATCAAACGCGGCTCAGTTGTCATTGACGCTTAACAATGCAGCCACCCACCAAATTTGAACCCAATCGGACCATATTTGAGAAAGTTATGGACATTTGAATATTTCACGATAAAATATCTCCGCAAAGGAGGAGCCCAGCTGAACACGTGTGCCACGTGACCACCGGTGGTACAAGCAGGACTTGTCCCCTCACCGATTGTGCCCTTTCAGGCTTCCTGACTGGTGCTGTTTTCGTGCTATAAGGCCACAAGTCGGCAAACACACGATAATCTGGGAGGTACGTGACTCAAACACGTGGCCACGTGGCACGTGCCGGACCTCTGACAGCTTCACCGTTCACGCCACGTGATGACCCATCGACGTGGCCATTAGCATGTAAAAGATGACCCCGGCCGGTGTCATCGTCACTGAACAGTGGACGGCTAAACTTGAAAAACGGGAAAATTTAGGGAAATTTCACCTTTCTAATATATAATTTCCCTAGAATTTTAAATTTTTCGTTTTACAAAAAATCCGAGATAGCAGTTTTTTAGCGCCGTTCATTCTGTGTCTACACCCGTTTTCAGATCGACTCTATCATAAAAACTGACGGCCTGACGGCTATTTCCCCCATTCCTTGCATTTCACAATGTTGGTGTATTTAAGAACAAAAATTGACCCCGTGCCACGGCACGTGCAATAGCACGTGCGCCACGTGACCACTGGTGCGACAAGCTGGACTCATCTGCTCACCGGCTGCATTGATTTGGTGTCGCTAGATGAAGTCGTTTCCGCGCCATAGGACCCCCAGTTGGACAATGTCGGATTTTCCCGGAGGTTACCCCATCAAACACGTTTGCACGTGGCACGTGCTTTTCAATCGCCCCATATCTGACCCATACCATGTGGTAGCCGACACCCCGGGGCACAACATATTGGAACATTTTCAAAATCTAACGTGGAAATTTTTTGCAAAATCGATTTGAAAATAATTTTTCGAAATCGCCATAGGCTCAACATGGGGTAACTGTCCGTCACGATTACCCGAAACTGTACCCTATGATTTTTAAATAATTACCCCCAGAAGGTGAGGTGCCAGCCCAAGAACTGACCCTAAAAAAGTGGACAAATATTACTGAACAGATTTTGCGCAAATCGCATTTTTAATTTTTCCCCATGTTAACCCTATGGGAAAATGCACGTGCCGATTACCCCAAAACGGGTTAATTATATTTCAAGCGACCGGTACCAGCCGGTAGCTCCCCCACACGGGACCAAACGCTGAAAATGGCAAGAAAATCTACCGAGCCGTTTCGGCGGCGATCAAAATGACCCAAATCGCGGCAGAAACGCTAAACACCCCCCTAGAGAGGTAGCTCAGGTTGGGATTTTCAATAGAAAATCACAATTCTAAAGAATAGTGATTGTTCTTAATTGAAAAGTCCCAACCTTCGGATAATTCCGTAAATCACACGGATTACATACGTAATCTGGATGTCCTATGCCAGACATTCGCCGTAGCCCTGGTAACACTCACCGGAATAGAGTTCATGATGACCCTGAACGTTTCGACGGCGAACTGATTCGGGACCCAGAGACCGTGGTTGTCCAGGTGTCTGAGAGCAGAGACCACAGTCAGACGCTGAGCATAGTGAGAAACATACCAGGACACGGTGTCGAGAACAAACATAACTCGAACAAATACAGGTGATAGCCGCTCGCCAAATTATGCTGGGTGGTGAGGTGCAACTACGAGTCAAATGATGTCCTCTAACATCATCTTTGAAGCCGCGTCGGACGCTATTCCAATATTTGCATAAAAACAGCTCAAAGGCGCTCAATTCGCACATTGTCCGGTCCTATCAGCCCAACTATCGGCCTAATAACGCGCTATCATCTTCAATCGTTCGTTATTTCTAATCAAACGATGCTCCCCGTCCTCAAAAAAGCCTCAAACCCTCAACAAACCCTCTCACGTCCCACCAGCACCACTCATCCACACATACCTGAGCACGGGTTTCATGAATCTCCTGATATGCGCGTACGAAGCTCGTCCGACCAGCTGCCTGAGACAGGTCTCCGCCAGCTCGGGTGGCGACCCGCCGCCCATCGACGGACGGTTGGCAGAGGTCACGGCAGTCTCCGTGGTCAGCTGCGCTGCCGACGGCTGGTTGCTGTGGCAACGGGCGCACGGTGAGCATAGGGGGATGGTGAACACTGAACAGGGTAGCGTGAATAGGATGTGAAAAGTGGCACTACAGGATAAAGCCAAGAGTTTCGGGTAGATTTTGTATTCAACACTGCTTTGTTTCGTGCATCGTCAATATATGCTATACAGAAAAGCGCCTTGAATCAAAGTATGGTAAATTATACATTCTTGCACTAAACTACCATGATATGAAGGCAAACTGCACAGATAAATGCACAGCGGACTTCTTCCGATCTTCTATCGAAGGCAGGAGAACAAAGAGCATTTATTTGAAATGAACTTCAGGAAAACTTTTGTTAAATGAGTTTAGCGAGAGCGTGGCCTTTCTAAGACAATAACCAACTCGTGTTCACTTATTGGAATGTTAACGCTGTTTGAAGGTCATATACAACAAACGCCTGCCAATAAAACCGAACTTCGTTTGACTCGCTGCATTCATTTGCAACCGGTAACTACTCAAACAAAGAGCGATCGGTAATTTCACTTCCTGTACTTGTGTAGCCGTTTACCCAACTTTGACTTGGCGGCATGGAATCCCATCAGCCATTTTCGCCGAACAGCTGGCTCGGCTGCCACCCGCTCAGCTGCTGACATGAAACATTGAACGGCCAATGACGCGGTCGATTGGGCACGAAAGGCTTCAGAGGCTGGGTGGGAGCCTGTGTCGGGGAGATCGGGGGCGTCCCTCCCACATACGTCTGAGGGACGGCGGTCAATACATCGAACCGGCTACATATCTTACAAAGGACGCACTGGGCTAGATATGAAACTGGAGAGCAGTGGAACGGACAATGCGATAAGAATAGACATGAGAGGGAACCCCTCTCGGGTATTAAACTATAGTTGCCATTCGATGCGATATTACCACCGACTCCTATAATGTTCACCCGACTGCACTCCACCGGCAAATTATCGAGTGAATCAGCATGAACGCAATAAAACTCAGTCACTCAAGAAACGAACACACGTCGGCACAAAAACAAGACATAGCGAGTTATCTCAACCAACTGTGAATACAGCCTTTATTCCCAGCATTTCCATGAGAATTCAGTGGCGTCCAGATTGTTCAACGCCGGTTAACTCCGGTAGGCTATGCCCTATGGATGGTTTCCGATCAAAGAACATTCGCAAACATCTAAATCTCCCATACAACTATCCATTATTCATCAAACAATAATGCCGTTGCAAAGGCAATGTGGTTTCTACGGGTTGTGGAAACTGCAACATCTACATCAAACCGATCGCAACCGGACTGATGGGAAAACTAACTCTGACAACACGTGATTTCCCTTATTGTATGGTAGGAATTATAAAGACGGCCAAAGCTCACCTCTTGTCCATATTGAAGAGCAAGGAGGGAATGATTTTATCCATGTGCGATTCGGTCCAGATGTTTTCGACCAGATCGTCGCTGACGGTCTTCTTTATCACTCCCTAAAACGCAGTCAGTGGCGTCAAAAAATGGCGGTGGGGAAGGAGGGCACGGTAACGGAGACACGCACCGTCCTGACACACAAGCGTGGAGCTGTGACCCATGCAAGCCTCAGCCGCTCTACCCTGCAGCTCACACATATTTACCCTACAAACCTCTACATAGGCCGTAACCCGCAGAGTCTGCCGCGACTCTCAGCTCTGAACTGCAGTTCCCTCAGCCTTAACCCGCCATTCCTCTCAGTTATGATCCACAGTCTCCACAGCCCAGGCTGATCTATAGCCCGCTCAGCCCTAACCCGCAGCCCCCTCCCCCATCAGCCCTCCCCTTGCAGCCCTGACCTGCAGCCCCTGCAGACCGGCAGTCCGCAGTTCCATCCTCGTGTCCATATCGGCGTGAGACGAGTGGCACATGGACGAGAACTTGGAGACGAAAAAGTCGTATCGCCGGTGGTAGGACGGCGTGTCTTCGGCAATGTTGGAAAACTTGACAAACTGTCAGGAAAAACAACACAAACGCGCGGTCGATCAGTGGAGGGCAGATACCAGGGAATGCCCGCTGAAAGACCCGCATCTCAGTCCCGACATCTTCCTAATACCCACTATACCCCGTATTTTCCCGCACCAATCCACGATTCGAGCCAATACGGATTTTCCTATAAGTAATAGATACTCCGTGCTGGGGAGACACACCGAACAGACTAGAAACAGCCGAACAAACAAATAAATCGCATCACGGTCCAGGCGAGGTGACTCATAGTTACAAAAAGATAGCAAGCATTAGGCAATGTGTTGTTCATTACAGGAGAACCTCCAAGAAATAAGGATCTTACACATCGGCACATGAATAGATGCGTCAATAGGACATAGCTGATTTCCTATTGAAGTGTTCAGTACAGCAATATTTGTATTAGTGGCTGTGCGTTTATTTATTGAGGCTTCAAAGCGCGTCGACTGCCCAGATCGTTATTCATTAGAGTCGATATAAATTAACTACAGTAGTAAAAGTCGCGCGATGCTTATTATTGTAACTGAATGTAACGTCGCACACTGCATCCCTTACCCCTCGCACGCCGCATCCCTCACCCCATCAGGCTAAGTAAGAATTCTGTAGCTGTCTCTCTGTATCTTACCGACTGCGTGGCGAGCACCTGCATCTGGGGCTCCTGGCACTCGAGCAGGCGCTGCACCGTCTTCAGGAAGCTCTCGACAAACAGGTTCAGGTTCTCTGGTTTACAGGTGGACACCAGCTCGTCCATGGCCTCGACAGAGACCAGCACGCCGCTGGAACGATTAAAAGGCATGGTAATTTCTCATGATGACTTCCAGGAGTCGGGATTTATTGGCTATCAAAAGAATAAACGATCATATGTAGGTGGCTAGCGACAAAGCGCCGCTGTTCTGATGACAAAGGCTGGACATCAAAAATGTCGTTATATCAAGCCGATATTTGTATCCTAGAGGTTACTGAATTATGCAGGACACAGCTGCAACATGGCTAAACCCTGTGGAGTGGACTGTCATCGGAATATATTGGCGACCGAAACAGCGACCTCAGGTCGTAGGGTAGGTACTAACTTGAGTGTTGGGAGACACAAGTGTACCTACTTGGAATGAGAGAAACTCCGGAACGGCAGAGCGGCGCAAAACACAACTGTTATCGGGGCACGTCAAGGGTCAAAGGTGACGACAGACAGACAATCAGACGAGGAGAGGGTTAAGTGGGACGATACGACCACAGGAAACACCCCAGAATAAATGAACTGATGAATAAACATCAGCTGCAGCTGGCTTCGTTGTTGTTGCAGCTGAAACCTCGCGAAAGATGGACCGATTTAATTTGCGTCGATAAGCCATCTAAAATCAATAACATCATATTTTTCATAAAAAGGGCACTCAAACGTAAAACGCGTAAAAGCATCTGATTTGCTTTGCATTCAAGCACACACCATCAATGAACCGAGAGTGTATCAAACATCAAACAGCCATTTCTGGAAAAAAATACAGCTTGTCAATAAAGCAGGCACGTTCCCGATTTCGCACGAGGCAGCACTCTGCGGGCTGGCACCATCTAAGTGCTAACACTCGCCATAATATACGGCGCAAATACCGCGGTGTGAACAGCGCAGAGCTCATCGCCGGCTCCCGGGGGAAACACCCCAGACGTGGTGAATAGGTTATTCATGTCGGCACACTATTCCGAGGAGACCGGACAGTCTGGAATTGAGGTCGGTGGTTTCCCTCCGCTATCTGTTCTGCCGGGTGATGTTATTGGGCTGCTGTAGTTCCCTGTCCACTACTCAGACCTAACACTCGTAACATCACATACGGATCAGCCAAGCCTCCCTCCCTACTCCCTGAATTACGACACTATTCCCGTAAATCCGTCCAATCCTGTAGCCCTCAACTCCCAAGTCTCAGTGCTGATAGCCTTCCGTTTTCGCATGATTCTCTCCCACCCGTTTAACTCCATTCCCTCTCCCATGACCCTTCCCCGCTTCCGTGATTATCTCCCTCTCCCGTGACGCCCTTCCCTCTCCACTCCCCTCTCCCGTGACTACCTTCCCTATCAACTCCCCTCTCCCGTGACTACCTTCCCTCTCCACTCCCCTCTCCCGTGACTACCTTCCCTCTCCACTCCCCTCTCCCGTAACTACCTTCCCTCTCCACTCCCCTCTCCTGTGACCCCTCCTCTCTCCGATACCCGTCCGCTCACCCGGTGCGCCGTCGGTAGATGTCCCGGCTGACCCTCGACTCGAGGTACTCTCCGATCCTGTCCAACTTTTCCGGAGACAAGTGCACGTAGTTGGTCAGCTTCTTCATGTTCGACTTGACCAGCCCATCCTGCGGAAAACAAAAGTGATATGTCAGCAGAGGACATCAGTGGATTGATTGGAAATGAGCAGTGACGAGGTGTTGAAGGTAGGTGATTAAAAACAAATTTGCTTTGAGCCGTGGTATGTAAACAGTGGGTGATAGGGTTGAGAGGAGGTAGGTAGGTAGAGCTGTGGTGCACACACGTCGTAAAGTTGGAAGGCAGAGTGAAGTTGTAATCAGCTGCAGCTGCAAGCTTTCTGATGCGGGATAATGACAACAGCATGATCAAAATAAATCCAATATCCGCTAAATGTCTTCGTCATTATGGATTTGTCAAATGTAACCGAAATGACATTTAAGGCTTACGAATTTTGACGAACGTCAAGTCAGCCTTGGAAGACGTTATAAAAGCCAAAGCGGATACGCAATGCTGAGAATCGAACATATCCGGCTTTTTAACCGATTTGTTTGGAAGTCTGTTTTGAAGAAAGCTGACATATGTTCAACCATTGGCTTTTAGCGCTGCCGCATCAACCCACACATTCCTCAAAGCTGAACTCATACGAAGTCAGCAGCAGCAGTTCCTCGTCAAACATATAAGCTATCGATCGGTTTTCGGAAGTACGCCTACAACACCTGCACTCTAATCGGTTTACATCCCCACAGTGCACGGAGGAATTCGTGCACAACATGGTCTTCGACGAACCCCTCAGGCGAGGGGTCTGCAACGCCAACACGAGCGTGTCCACTGGTGCTGTCTGGGAGGTGAGGACGAATGTAAGCGTGGACGACGAGAGAGGGACTGGGACGGTGTCTGGTGACTGGTGACAGCGGTGGTGAATCACCGTCACCACCACCGGGGATAGAGGGGAACTTCCACTCGGGCGGATTCCGCCGGATTTTTCCAGCGAACTGATTCAATCAGGCAGGTTTAGCACGAGCGCCGCCAGGCGCTCACTGCGGGACGGCTGGTGCGATGACTCATCGGTTCGTTCTATCACCACTATACCGGTGCCCTCTAGCCCGGACCCAGCAAAGACCCCTACCACTGCTCCCCCGTCGGGATGCACCTGGTGCCGCCCTTGGCAGGCAGGTTTGCTCACCCGTGCCCCGTCTGCATAGGCAGCGGCTCGCCGGCGGTCGCCGCAGATCGTCTCCGACCGCGCGGCGGGTGTGTTGTCTGTGTCGAGAGTCTCCTCACTTTGTGTCGCTGAGCTGCGAGTCCTACCGCCGTGCGGAGGTGACTGATATACCTGTGACGGTGAGATATAACCTGTGCGAGATGTTTGTCAGGGACGCCGTGATGCAGTCCTGGCTCGGTGTCACACTGCTGGCGGTGGGATCTCTCGCCGTGAGGGAACCTCTCCGAGTCGACAACAGACTACCGGCGAGAAGTGCCGACCTCGTCTCAGCGCCGGCCTCCATGTCAGTCACGACGACGGGGCCTCCAACTGTGGAGGCCACCAAACGACTGCTGACCACTAACCCCGGCATGCATCGGCTCAACGAGAAGGTGATGGGTCAGGTATTCACCGGCTTGGAGAACGAGGTCGTGTGCACGTTCTGTCTCCTGCAGGTCCTCTCACTCGCATATCAACTGGGAAACAGGACCGTGCGCACTGAGGTTGAGGTGGGTCTCGAGTCGACCCAGCCCGACGATCTGGCCGTGGCGCTGCTGTGGGCGGCCAGTGCTGAGAACCAGACCCTGACGGGCACTCTCCTGGGGTACTACCAGCGCGACGAGCCGCCGACCTGCGACCAGCCGGCGCCGGCAGTTCGCTCTCCTGCCCGCTCCCCGGCCCGCTCTCCGCCGCAGGACCCCGAGAGGTGTCGGAGAATCCAGGAGTTTGTGGCAGACAGCGGCCGCCCGGTGGATTTCAAACAGCCGTCCACCACGGATCAGATCAACGCCGAGGTGTCACGCGCCACCGGCGGACGGATCGAGGAGCTGTTCACTCCGCTACCCTCCGACACGCGGCTCGTGTTCGTCTCCGCGCTGGTGTTCGCCGACCACTGGCGCTCTCGAATGGTGACGGCTCGTGGTCTTTTCCACGGCGCAAAGAGGGATGTGCAAACCGAGCTCCTACTGCTGCGAGAGGACCTGCCGATCCTGGACGGCACCGCGGACGGCGTCATCGGCGTGTCGCTGCCGTACGAGCAGCCGGGGGTGCGCATGTTCGTCTTCACCACGGTGGACGGCAGCGACGTGCGTCGCAGGCTCAGCCAGCAGCATTACGAGCGTCTGGCCGCCGTGAAGCAGCTCACCTATACACGCGTCACCATGCCCAGCTTCGATATCGCCTCCAAGAAACGCTCCTACATCGACCTCGTCTCCGAGATGGGCATGGGCACCATGTTCGCTGGAGGCATGGGCGCCGACGATCAGCTCAAGGTGGCGAAGCTGGAGCACAAGGCGGTTATCAAGACGGATCGAGACGGCACGCAGGCGGCCGGAGCGGCCGGCGTGGCCGTCGTGCCGCTGAGTGCTAAGCCGCAGCCGTTCCAGGCGCGGTTCGACCGTCCGTTCGTCTGCTCGCTGGTGCACACGGAGCTCGGAGTGCCCATCTTTACCGCCTACGTGGCCGACCCGCTGCTCAAGTAGAGAGCGGCAGTCGGGGAAGCTAGGAAAGGTCCGAGAGAGGAGGGAGTATTTAGACGCGTGCATGTCTCATAGAAAAGACACATCGCGCACGGTGAGCGCTATAGGTACCGATGCACGAGGGCATTGCAAATGTGATCCACCTAACTAGCGGTGAGGATAATGCGAGCTAGGCTGTTGTCTCTAGAAGTGATGTGCGAACTAAGTCGTGAGCGAGCGCCCCGCAGCATTCATCCAATGGGCAGCGTATGAGCTGCGTCAGCGACGCTCTCGACAGACTGAGAACGAATAGACCACACCAAATCAGACTGAAAGCCGAAGAACGGCGGTGCAACGAACACTAAGCGAGCTGTATTTTATTGTGATCGACCGAATGTGTTATATGGAAATACATGAGAGCTTTACAAATCGGACCTTGGTAATGTGCTTGGTAACATTAGATGTTGGTGCGTTTATGCGTTTAAGACACGAGAAGCACGCGAGACTGGGAAGGCATTAGAAACGGGCTTGCAGTGCATAAAAATGAAAAGCTTATTGTGACTTCCAGAACCGCGAAAGATCATCTGTTTCATGCTCATTATCGTCGGCAAGCAAATATAAATCATCTTCTTTTAAATGACGTAGTAACGTCGCATGAAAATCGTTGACATTTATTTCTGCTTCTGGACAAATTCGTGGTAGCAGCCACGATTACATACATAAACTGGCTGGTATTATTCCATAAGCTTTTAACAACGCAATCATCTAACATTAAACAATGACTTCTAATTTCATAGCTGGCAAATTGAGGTCCCGGACGTCACGTTCGGGCCTTTATTTTTAAACACGGGCTATAGTTATAACTTATACCCACAAGCTGATTAAGACCAGACCATGACCCCGTACCCTTCGGCATGTGATTATTTGGGACAGAGTGACGTCATCTCCAAAAGTCTTTGCGCTAACGACGAGACTAATTGAGGAAAAGGGCGCCGTAAAATACTCGCTCTATCATCACTTAAATAACACGCACTAGCATGGATTTATGTTAACAGGTTTGCCTACCGGGTCACCATTATAACTTGTTCATATCACAGGTAAATGAAGACATAAAACTAATAAAACATGTTCTAAATAGTGTAAGACTTCTCAAAACAGGTTCCTACGACAATAACGAACATAACCAGTAATCATCACCCGTGAACAAGCCGTTGAAATGCGCATTAAATCACACCCCGAGTGCAAGTCTCCACACAACATTACGTCCACGCCTGTATCCCCTTATCCTCGGACCTGCGTGATAACACCACGGGTCACACGAAGGCAGAGGAGGTCACCGGACGCCCTTGTCCGGGTAGCTCAACGGGACAGCACAGGGAGCTGCAAACTCTCCGCTGACCGGACTCTACTAATTAGCGACCTCCACAGAAACCTGCCGCAGGCGGAGGTGTCTTCTTTCCGATGCGGATCCGTCCCAGGATACAGGCAGACCGGTCAGAGTTATCGGTGGGGTAAGATGGCGAGTCCCCTACGGTAAGCATTGCAAGGAGAACGAAAGGACCACAAATACCTACACAAACACACCTAGCACACATACCTACAGACATACATACAGGCCGAGCGGTGGACAATAGCCAGCCCGGACAATGCTAATTGTCCAGCTTCGCCGCAGTACAGGCGTGACGTTACAGTGACGTAATTATGACATCATCGTGACGTCAGTATGACATGAAAGTAGGTGCCGGGCGGCGCGGGGACCGGCTAGGGCGCCTGCAGATGGGATGACCGTGAGCTTTGCACGGTGATACACAAACACGGGCACGTGAATAGGAGATGACGACAGAGCTGCATACGTTCCACGTAGAGATTGTGAATTTGCATCGGACGCGAGACCCGGCAGAGTAACAGACTGTCAATGAGATGCTGTCATGCTAGGCACGGATCAGTGTGTCCACAAATAAGGCAATAGGAATTACCGGACCGAAAGATCGAAGGTAGCTGGGCTTAGAGACCAGCGAGATCTAGGATCAGACACCAGTCACGGGATCACGAGAGCAGTGAATGCCTAACAAGGGTTACGCGAGAGAAAAGCGAATCAATATGGGGAAGAAATATTCAAGCTATTATTCAAATTTGCAGATTTTGTGGAAGCATACGAAATATTCATTGTTCATAAACGATATCTATTTATCTAATTTATACACACTTCGACTTGGAAAGCCTACTGTCGCCGCCCATAAGTCCACCCTGTGCCAAGCCAAGAGCCGGGTACCGGGGCCCTCGTCTGCAGAGAGCTTAGACCTTCGCCGAACACCGTGCGCGGATAGCTGCAGTAAACTCCCCGAAATCCGCCCACCACAGACGGCCGGCCGGCCGGCAATCCCATTCCGCACCGATTCAGCCCGCCCCATTCACGCCACCCGAGCTGCTCGAAACTCGGGATGACCGAGTTTAATCATTCGAGCACACGCCAGTCGCTCAAGTTTCGTCATTCAGTCAAGTCAGGAGGCTGAAGGCGAGCTGCAAATGGTAGTGGAGGCAGCCGAGCGCGAATCAACGAGAGCCCTCTATCACGCGTAGCTGGAAACGAATAAAACTGGAGATCGATGCGTCGCATCACGTAATTTAATTCTACGTTGTTCAGCAAGCGGAGTATAGAGTAATCCAGTTCATATTGCGATCCATGCCTACAAAGTTACGCCAGTGTGGGATGCGCAAAAAGGAGACATTGCGAAAAACGCTCACAGTCCACAGGGCAGTAGTTTGGTCCACGTTAGTTAACAAACTCTCCATAATTAATGAACTTCTCCCGGGTGGGCACTGCCACCATCGCTCCCGAAATTGAGTTGACCAAGTTCTTGTCGTCGCCGGACCCCATGATACCTCTTTGAACCCTTCACACTGCTGTGTTACAAATTCAGAAAACTGGCAGCCATTAGCAAACAGGCCACCAGCAGGAGAATGAGTAACTCGTACAGCTGGGCCACTACTTAGGCGTCTGCGCAATTTCGTTTTCGAGAAATTAGCTAAGTCTGCTCTGACAGTCTGACGGAGTTCGGTGAGCTTGGAAACCAGGCAACAATCCATCGGCGCGACCATGCGGTATACGGAAAGAGAACACAAAACAATAGGTTTTGGCAACGAGTACCGTTTGACTGCCATAGCGATAAGCAATTACAATACAAAATACGCTTATTGTTTTTGTTTAGGTGTGACCACTTCAAAAGAAAGTTGCATACATCAATGAGATCCAAACAAACGATAATCGGAAAAGCTCCTCGAATTGGGACCTATTTGTTCGTATAATCTCAGCTGTCGACTTGGTAAGACCGAAACCGAACAAGACCTTCCAAAAAAGAGGCGGTTGGCACGGGCCTTACCAACAAGCTAACGGTGGCTGACGAATGTAGCGGTGTGGCGTGTTCCTGATGGCGTGACTCAGACTGTTTTGGCCAGCCATGTCGCTCATCGCTGTCACTAGTCGGTGAAAACAGACTCGTGGCATATGAATAGGCACATTCCATCAGGCATAGAAATTAAACATTCACAGATCAAGCAGGTGACCAAAGACGGCTACCCAATCCGAAGAAATAAACTAATACATATATAAACAGTACGCATATTCGTACATACGCATACACTTCACATAAAAGTGAAGACATACACTGAAATATGAGCATTGAGCATGAAATATAGTGAAAAAAGTCGGATAAATCGGGTTTCGGGGCGCAGTAGCGCGGCGCCTGCCCAGTGCCCACCCTTGGCTCAGCTACAGCATATTAGCAAAGCGTGCGGTGTGCATTCATCTTGGTGTGTCCGACGTCTAACATGCAGTCTCTATAGAGTACTGACGTTCAGTAATTCCCACATGCACGTCCCACTGAGCTGGCGGTATGCCTCATTTTCTCATATGAATGTCTCAGTGTTCTGCAGGTAAGTCTCAGTGACTTGAGGCCGAGAGAATGTCTTACTGTATGTCTCACTGACCTGTGGCCAGGTCTCGCTACCATGAGGCATGAGAGAATGCCTCAGTGCCCGGCAGGTAATGTCCAATGACCTGCTGATATGTCTCCCTGTTTCACTGAACTGCGGGTATGTCTCAGTGCCTCATTTTGTCTCAGTGACCTGCGGGTATGTCTCAGTGCCTCACTTTGTCTCACTGACCTGCGGGTTGACGGGGTAGATGTTGTCCACCAGTCGCTTCCATCTCGGTCGGAGAGCAGAGCACAGGCCGCAGCAGCCTGCAGCAGAGACACCGCGTCAGAGTCCGTGTCAGCGTTAAGGCTGAAACAGACTCTTTCCGCATTCAGGAAATCACTTGCGAGAGCCTATTCAAATACATTGTAATTCTTCTCGCATCAATCGCATGCGGGAGGTGCGTGCGATTGGTGCGAGCGAGCTTCCATGTGTTTGAATAGGCTCTCGCAAGCGGTTTCCTGACTGCGGAAAGAGTCTGTTTCAGGCTTTAGATGCACCGTGCCATTGATGCGTCAATTTGTAAGACAACCCACGTTGTCAGTGTCAACGGCGCAGTATCTGTAACACCGTGCTACTAAGGGAATAGCGCAATACTAAATATTACAAGCAGCCATCGCATGCAGCTGCTAGTCACTCCATAGAGAAGAGTGCGAGCTAGGTATTCGCTGACTGTACGCCGGGGGGGGGGGGGGCATATTATATTTCATATACCACTCAGTATACTACATCGCAGAAACAATATCCATGCATCAACAAACTTCAGTATACTCGCGGTCGCGGTGCGATAATATAGAAAACAGTCCCAGTTTTACAGTCTTCCGTTACAGAGACCGCAGTTCCGGACGCCCGGCCACATCGCAGGATCTTCTAGTCGCGGAAGCGACAAGGCATCTTTGCCATTAGCTGTTCCGAGAAACGATTAGCTCAGAGGTGGCCTCGTAATGCATTTTCGCACATCCGGTGATACATAACTTGTGTTATAGGAAAGCTTGGTTGCCGGAAAGAAAATGTATCAAACATGGCCGCTTGGCATAACATCAAGTATTCAGCAGCCACGGCACCATTTAACGATATATGCCAAAGATGATGATTTCTTATTGCTATAGGCATCACTGGGACAGACCTCTTAACACCACTGATCAAAAGCACGCGACAGTCGGCCTCGAGCAAAGTATAATGATTTAGAAAATGTAATAAATTTCCTTGATCGTAAACAATAAATGGAGAAAAGCCTACGAGTATACCTAATCAAAATCAGCCGAGCAGATCAAATATTTAAGGCGTCACCATTAGCAGCCCCAGCCCGGCGTTCCGATGTGAGACGTGGGGAGCCTCCCACGGCTCTGCCGTATCAGAGCAGCACGGCGCGCATCGACACCTCGGCCGGGGCAGGGCCGAAGAATGCCTAATTGCCGCACCACCAGTCCTCCCGGAGATGGCTCCTGTTTGTTACCGGGGAGGGAACGAGAGTCTGTGCAGGACACACGAAGCGGAAACATGCGAGTAATTAAAGGAGCACCGCAACATGGTGACACGGTGACACCGAACCGAAGGCGTGTCGCATAGCGGGAAAAATATCGCCGTTTTCATGGTATGAACCGAGAGATGAGCAATTGGTGAGCTCCGGCTTGTGGGGCTGTGATTTGCATTAGTGATTTGATGGTGTTGCTGTCAAAATATATGCAATCATTATGTGGGAAAACGAGGAAAATTTAAATTATCATTAAGTGTTTACAATTAGCGAGTGAGTATGCGAACGTTACAAGAGATACACCAATTGACGGGCCAATAAAAGCCTCAACAGCTGCTTGGGCATAACAGGCAACAACCTTTTGATACCTTATAATTGTAGTCCAAGACTTGACTTTTACAGTTACATAACATTCAACTTCGTTAAGCACCATAAGTCTAATTAAAACTCGAACGAAAGTAAGAACATCCGAAATGAGCAAAATTAGGCGGAGCACATACTAGGCATCTCGAACTAGCGCAAAAGGTCGGTAGGTGACAACACCACTGCTGCAAAAAAAAGAGCGTCTAGTTGGCAACAGCGAGCGATGAGCCACTCCACTCTGGGAAGCTCTCATTGGAGGGCCGGAACATATTGGACAATGGATGACACTGGACGCTGGTTAACGAAGGCTGACGGACGCGTGTCCTCTGGCCCCATCGCTGCTGTCCGCCGTCCATCCCCCGGAAAAGTCCCCGGGCCGCAACAGGCGGACGCTCCCACATCCCCGTGGACAAATGGCCCTCATCCATTCCGCAGAAGTAAGAGTAGATGCTTGCTGCACGTAATAGCCACTCTGCCGGACATGGCCTCGCGGCTGGCTCTGCTTTAGAATTGACGCGGCTGATGAACTACCCTGATGAACTAGCCTGAAAAGATAGTCCCGCACGACACAGAATACAGGTTTGCGAGGCATTTGCGCCGTCAGAAGAATAGTGATAAAAGATGTCTCGTTCTAGGAACCAAGGTAATGAGGACACGCGAGCGCGCAGAAATGATATTTCGAAATGATATTTCTGAGAGACACGAAGCGGCCTCCACTGCCTCCACACAGCAATAGTACCAGTAGACTCGATAAGACCATCCACTCAGACTCAGGGCTTTACACTCGTATCACGACAAATGAACATGATAAATCCAGAAAGGCCCAGCGAGAGGCAGCACACAATAAGTTCAACGAATTTAGAATAGTTGATTCTTTTACATTTTTCTGACACCCGCTTTGCGCTTCAGCCGAAATGTAAGTTAGGCTTCATTTCAAAAGTGAAAAAGGAGGGAAGTTAGGAGAGTCTATATGAAAGCATCTCTCACATTCCCGAATGCAGGCTACAGCTGCGGCCCCCTGAATCGGCCGGTGTATAGCAACATAAGGTTAAATCGTAAGCAGACTTGCAGCATCATTGTCATACGCTGATGCGACCGCTGCAGACTGCGCCTCCTCTGCGTCTTAGTTTCAAACACCGATCATCAAAATATATAGCCACAACTCTAGGGTCGTGCAATTGAGAACGTTACCTTCCATGCTCAAGCATATGTTTTAACGGTGACAAAAGGGCAAGAAACATGCGATGCATGGTCCATGAAGAATAGAAATACAATGGGTCTTACAAAAGCACCATAATGCGAATAAATAGATCAACCCCAAATCAAATCAGTAATGGGATCCAAAGTCCAATCATGCATTTTAGTTCAAATCCAGCTAGCCTTCATTTAAAACAACCAAGAGCCTGCCATCGGATCTGACAAATCAACAAATGGAGATAATCGGAGCGGGTCCATCAAACCAAAGAACGAGGAACAACGACCGTGAAGAGAGGGTACACCAAACAACAAACGACTAACGACTGGCGTGTAGCAAGGCGGTCGTACAATAAGGGTAAGACAACGACCAACGGCCATAGGGTAGAAGCACGATGAGGGCACGAATAGCGACCGGCCAGTCACAGCCCGGTCGACAGCCGGCCAACAATGGGGAAAATCCGTGACTAGCGTCGAGTCCCCGGCTGACAACTGACAGAGCAAGAGGGGCACCGGCCACCCAGGGAGAAAAGCAGCAGCAGGGGCAAAACGACTGCCCAACGCTACACCGAACACACCGGGAGTTCGCCACACGAACAGACATAGATCGAGCAGCTACGGAACAACAACACCAAACACTGGCGGGTGACTGCGTGACAACGGCAGCGGCAGTGGAGGGTCAAAAGGAGGGCAAACCTTGCCCTCCCCCGCCGCCGCTGCCGCCTCCGCCACCGCCGCCGCACCACTACCGCTCACAGGATGGACTGGTGCACTTGTCGGCGGCGGTGCCCAGCGCTTCAGAGAGCTCCGGCAGACCGCACCAGCCGAACATGTTGACGCGAGCGTGCCGACTGGCCGACCCGCCACCCGGCCGCCGACGGAGGCACACCGCATTGATCGGCGACGAGGCGACATCGACCGTGCGCGCGCCACCGCCGCCGCCGACGGTGGGGGTGGAGGTGGTGGGTGGTGGCAGAGAGTGGCTCTGCAACAGGTGTGTGCGGACGACCGGCAGGTCAGCCCGGGTGTCACGGGAGAGGGGAAGGGAGAAAGGGAAAGGGGAAAGGGAAATGAGAGTGAGAGAGCAGGGTAGGTGTCAGAGCGGGCGGCGAGACAGGGAGAGAGCATCAAAACACGGCAATGTGAAGATGCGAGAGGTAAACAGAAAAGATGTGGGAAGGGGACGGAACGAAAGGTCGCGATAATAAAGACAAGAGCTGAACGTGAAGGGAAGAGAGAATTTAGACACATAGTCTCGACCCGGCGTCATTGTGCACGGGGGGGGGGGGGGGATGTGAGTTGAAACGTGCATGAGCTTGACAGGGACGGACCTGTTGGTGGCAGGGGGTTCAGGAGGAGGAGCACACAGCGAACTCATCACGACCGGCCATACCGTGAGGACCTTTACCGGCACCGCACGAAACCGTCAGTCTAGGAAGCGTGGGCGGCATTGGTCTGATGATTGTGGCGTCATAGGAAGAACGACACAGGGAAAACAGCACTGGCAGGGTTCATTTTTGGCGTTAGTCACATCACATTAGTCGCGTGATAACAATCTATCGTCGTAAGCTAAGGACTGGACTAATCATAGCTAGCAGACGCGCAAATGTAGGACAAATGAGACTATCTAGCGCATACCGTGATGGAATTGAAGTGCGCAGAGGATGCGCATTACGCAAGACAATAAAAACTCATTTATCTTCAGTCATAGTCCAGACCACAAAAAGACATCACGTAGAAAAAAAAAATGACGGGAGACATGAATAGTACGATACCATGGCGGGAACAAGGATGCGTCTCGATTTTAAATGCTCCGCGTAACACATTTAACCACCTAAAAATAAGGTGGTATCAATATGGCCAATCAGCATCCTCATATCAAGCAGGATTTCCGCCGAGTCCCTTAGAGCAGGTATCTAAAATGGTCCTTAATTATTCCAATGACGTCATCAAGACAAATGGCGTCACAAAACGTCAATGTTGATCACGTTGTATGTACATCAGCAGTGACGATGTCGTCGGCCGGCGGGCCGCCTGCCTCCCAACTAGAGGTGGCAAAATGTGGAACCGGGGGCCCGGCCCATAGACCCGGTCTGGACTCATATGGATCCAGACCGGTTCCTGAAAATTTTCGGAAGGGTCCAACCGGGTCCTGCCATAAACCACACTTCTCACATACCTCCTAAAAATATGAAGTAAATAGAAGGAAAACATTTGGTCATGGTATGTTTTTTTTTTGCGCACTGTAGCTCTAAGTAGGCAGGTATACCCAGTTGGAAAAACGATGTGTTAATTGATGCAACTAATGATTACAAAAAGTTTGAATTTATTGACTTTTGGGGAACGGGTCCAACTGGTTCCGTTCCGATTCTAACTTAGACCGGGTCTGACTGGTTCTAAACATGTCCAGTCGGGTCTGGTTCCAAACATTTCCAACTTTTGCCACCTCTACTCCCAACACGGCGAAAGAAACAAAAACCGTGCTTCTGAGTTCCAAAGCCCCGTACCCTGGGGGTTCGACCAAAGCCGCTCAGGAAAGGTAAGAGGCCCACCTTCCATTGCTGAGGCAGGCAAACTTCCACTCGGATAGCCGCATTCGCCCCCGTGGGTGGGTGTTTCGCCGGACTCACATTATCGAAATTACCTTCCCCACGTCAAAGTTAATGTAATTCGGTTAGAGAGCTTTCCTGTTCGCCGCCTTCGGCCGGTCAATATCGTCTCGGTGGCGGGCAAACACCCACGCTCTGTCAGCGTCCTGGGCCACTCTCACAAAGTGTGAAGCTAGGTCAGTTACGGCCAACAGTCGCCGCCCAGCGCCGGCGCGCAGTTTCGTAACCGAGAGCGACGTACCGGCGCAACAGGTTCCGGCTAGTAGGGAACTCGGAGATCCCTGTATGTCGAGCACGCGCCGGCTGCTGCGAGGCGCGTGATGCCACAGATTCGGAGTATCAGTCTGCATCGCACTACCGACTTCGACGAAAACATCAGAGGTCACCAGCCTGTGCACCGATCGGGAATAGACGCCGCGACTCCGTCCACATCACAGCCGAATCAGCACAGCGCTAACGAAGGACCGGAGACAATGGACCGGCCTTTCCAGTACGATCCGGGCGGGTTTTCCAGTTTGGCCGAGGGCGCGGAGGGCGTCCGCCGGACCTCTCGGCTGTGAACCGTGCCACCGAGACGGCGATAAGACACGACACAGGCAGCCGAGCGAGGAGCCGGCCGATCGCAGAGACTGGACACAATGAGGGGAGGAATGCACCGTCCAGAATACAGGCAATCCGGCATTGTTTGATCTTTGAGCTTTGTGCAGTTACAGGTGCTGTGCTTTGGAGTTCCACTAGCATGTCTGATACATATGCAGTCAAGACGGATGGCGCATGCATTGAAATTAAGAATGGCGCAAAAAAATAGGACATTGATATTTGAAAGCGCAAAGCACCTTGCCTCTATTCCTAAGCGAGTATTTCATCAGGATCAAAAGATCCCAGAATTCACGAGTGAGACGCGAAACAGCCATCAGGAGATACCTACAACTTTTCCGCGAAAGCATTAGCGACCCCGTAACTGACGCCACTTGCCTCACACTGAACACTCAAACCTATCTCACGTGTCACGCACCGCCGACTGGTGCATTATGCATCACCTGCAATCTATTTTACGAATTCCAAAGAGCAAAACATTCCAGAATTCAGGAGTGAGACTGCAAAACAGTCAGCAGCATTCACAATTGCCTGATGTTAGGATAGACATGAGAACTGACGACACATATTGGCTCCTTTTTGACAACTACCTATCAGTTTCCCAGCTGACAGCCCCATTGCTCGGCTCCAAATCCCTCTTCCCAAACGACCCATCCGAAGTTGGTTCACTCGGCTCTGCCTTGTCTGAAAACCACTCGAACGATCGCAGCGACGAGCAAATCGTTCTCTGAAAGCCGACACGCGATCAGAGGCCGGTGTAGTGGCACGACAACCCTACCATGACCGGAGAGCCGTCTGACCAGCCACCTCAGCTGCCTCCTACACACGCCAGGGTACGATAGAACCACCGGGTGGCACCCCCTCGATGACTCGATGCAGAGTAGACAGGCCGGTCAGGAGACGTGGAGAGACAAATAACCGGAAGAACGAACAACAGGCGAACGGACGAAAAGAAATGACAGTGGTTTTTAGCATCAGCACGACATGGGCTTCCAGGAATTCTTGTTACTCAGGCAGTATGACTCAACCGACGGACTGCAGCGATCCAAGACGAATCGTACAAATCGTATAACTGCATAACATGGCGTATAACGCAGGGCTTTGTTGAAGCACAGAATATGCAATCATTCATTTTTAGATGCTGATCAATATCCATACCTACCTACATCATAGTAATCCTTCTTTGGAACCTGAAAGATATGGTGAGCATGGCCGAAAACGAAAATTACACGTCCCAGGGAAACGACACGGCCGATTATCGACGACTGGCGGCGGAGCCTGAACTACTACTTCAGGCAGGGTCTGTGAGAGGTCGCCTCGCTCGGCCACTGCAACCGTGTACTGCTTTCGGCCCAGTTGATTACAAAGGTTGAGGGGAAACAAGCCCTAAAACAGGATATAAATTGCATCTGATGGATCAAGGAATTTAAATTCAGTGAATTCAACCATATAATGAATCTAAGTATGAATCTGAAAAACAAACAATGTGTTTAGGGTTAAAACTAGAGCAGCCCTCACTGGAAGTGTCTCATTTCGGGTTTAAATTACTTAAATATTGCATGTAAAAGCAAAGTATTTGCAGAGCCCATTCACATAGGTTGGCCATCGGCACTAGACTTTCAAAACCTGTCCCGTAGCTCAGTTGGTAGAGCGCTGGACTCCCGGTAGTGAGAGCCCGGGTTCGAGACGCTCCGGCGCTCGAAATTTGAGACTCTTGACGGGGATAGTCTGCGGTTGGTGGGAGTAGCTGCAGTCAGTTGAAGCCAGTTGAGTGGGACAGGTCGTGTCCGGCTTTGAAGGGCACGTTAAACTTTGGCATCTAAATTCTCCACTTACCCGGAATTGCGCACAGTAGGGGTAGGGGTCTACGCAACAAGCTCTGCTTACCGTGGGCTTCGGCTGTCAATCCGTCAATTCCAACATTCGAGTTAAATCTATATAAAAAACAAAAAAACTGCTTGAATTTGGCCAGGCATATGCCCTTATTGCGTAAAGGGCCTTGCATGTATTACATCTTCCCATGTCAATGAAGAGCTAACTGAGCACTGGCAAAAGGTCCTCCAAGCCCAAAGAGTCACCTCTGCCTGTCACCACCAGTATCACCTGTACAGTGTGTATGCCAAAAGGAGCATAAAAAACTGATGAGATTATCAGTGAAAAATACAATAACTCAAATTATTCTTCAAATGAAAGCAAGAATTGAGCATGGATATTTAACAAATCTGCTGAGGCTTCTCAGCCACTGAGCAAAAAATGTGAGCTGTACTGTATAGGTACCAAAGAGACTGAGAAGCACCGTCAGTTTCCACGGCAGGCGGAGCAGCGGCAGCATGGATGAGAAACAAGCACTGGATGGTGCTCAAGTCAAATTATCCATATTCCAGATTTCAAAAATTAATGAAAAAAGCATAATCAGGGTCTAGGGCCAAATCTTACCAGTGGCATAGATAGGATTTGACAGCACTGGCCTGAGTTAACGGCACTAACATAAGAATATCCTCTTTATTTGCATCAAGCTAACCTTGCCCAATGATTTTGATAGCATGAATTGTCTGAATATGAATGAATGTCATATCATGAATGTTGTCTGAACGAATGAATAAATGAATGCTGAATAGTTACGAATGTTACCAAATGTTGTGAATGCGCATTCATGGCATTTGGTAAGATTGGGCCCAAGTATCATCATAACTTAAGATACACACATTGCACATATATGTACACCTATACCAACACTTGAGGTTCAATGAAAAAAGACTTTGACTTGCCAAGACATGATACAAACAAGACACCACCTATGCTATACCTACCTATGCCCCACTAGCCCCCAACCTAATTAGTGGAATATAAATCCTATGTGGAATTCCTTATCCATAAAAGCTAAGTAAACAATAAACAAGACAATACTCACTCATCATGGATCAGCAAGTAGCATTCAACCTTCAAAATCCCAGAATCTCTAATCAGCACGCCCTAATGTCTATTTCGGTTCCAAGCTGTAATTCCCGATAAAAGTATTCAACAGGCAAAGTCGACTGATGTTGACGTAAACATTCAGTTGCTTTGCGCATGCCTTGCGTGATGTCAGTAAGCAGAAAAAGCGAGAGAGCGTGCTATTGAACGCATCAAATGCGGCATAGTTGTAAAAATATTCATTCTTGACTTTATGTTCGCTAGCAGGATAATTGCACTTTGAGGCCATAATCTGTCTTCTTGCACCAATGACTAAATGCATTTTGAAAACTTGCAGGACAAATAGCAGTTTTTGAGCAAAAGGTAGATAGTTCCCTTATATTTTGGGGTCAACAAACCCATTTCATTCCTTCCTCGAGGGCTTGTGTGTGTGGTGACCGGTGATAAAAAGCTATAAACCATATTTTTTAAAATAAGGTTCTGGCATACACTGTGGTTTTGGCAGGAAGCCATATCGTGATCTGGACATTTAATTTTGATTAATTATAGTTACCTCTTTGGTCATGATAAGCTCCTTTATTTATTAAAGTTTTTTGTTGTACTTACCTACCTGGCGGCTGGCTACTGTCGTGCTCTGCTATCGATTCTGGGTGGCCGCTTAATTTCTATCATTTATTTTTAGATAATTCAATGACGCACAGCTGCTGCTATACTCAGTTCCGTTTCAAACTTGCAGCTGAAGTGCCCTGCTGAAAGCAGTGCGTGATTTCTGTATATACAGCTCTTACATTTTAAAGGGACCCTCCCACCTTCAAAAAAGTTAATGAATTGGCATGAAAGTGATGTCGCTCGGTTCAGAAAGAGCAAAAACGAATATCTACCAAATTTCATCGAAAAATATTCACCGGTTTTCAAGATATTAGACTTTTACTTTTGTTTACTTTTTGGGATCTCCGCTGTTACTAGCGACTTTATTTGAAAGTGCGGCATTTGTTGCGCGCAAAGCAGCATATACCACCGCGTGCTACAAAACGTTTTAGTCAAACATTTAACGGACGTTCAAAAGTCTGATGACGTCATCAGATTCCCGTAATGGTTAAGAGATAGGGACCATGCTGGTCCCACCCTGCAAGTAAAGGGAAGAAATTTCTTGAACACCATAAAGCTGCGGGGGTTGCGACCAGGATAAATGGTGGTTTCTGAGCCTGGCCGCAAACTTGGCTATCTCAACTCAAAACTAATGTTAAGGTGGGAGGGTCCCTTTAAGACATAAATTCTTGAGCGGAGGAGCAATCTGCCGAAGAAACTCTGACTGCAAGCTTGATATGGAACAGACTATGGCCCTGAGGGCACCTTTCCCGCCTCTCCCGAACGACCACCTTAATCCTGGCTGCTGAATGATGATGTATGGATCCATGCACCAATGGAATGGATCCATGTGTAAGGCTAATTGGTTGTTTTTTATGGTGACAACTGATAAACATGCTTGAATATCCCTTATATTGCTGAAATGGCAGCATGCTGATGAAGTTCTTCCAAAAAGGCTCAGACTGTGAAGCATCGCAGCAAAAATAACATGAAACAGTTGGCTGAGTTGGTAGGAAATGTCTGTACCACTGCATTCGATGGCTCTTTTTCAGCACACAACACTACAATGAGCACTACTGGTATTGGTGCAGTTTCCATGAAAACATTATGCTCCAGGCTGTGCCATCTACTAGTTTTGTGCAAAATACTTGAGTGATGCCAATAAATCAGGATGTGTCTGCTAACAGACTTCATATTTTTCAGTGATGACTTATCATAAAAGTGGTGTGATAAAGACTTATCATAAAAGTGGTGTGATAAAGGTTTTCTTATGTTTTTTTACAGTATTGTGTCTAAGGGAGCTGGAATATGAGTCTGAAGACTACCCTCAGAAGAAATGTAAATTATGTGGCTGTCATTTGTTTGAGCTTTTTGGTACTTAATCACCTTTTAAAGATCATTACTCCCAGGAAATCTGCAGAAAATTATGGCATGTGCAATGAAGCCATTGAGTATTTACTTAGTGAATACAAAGGTAAGTGAAAAAGCATGTACATAAGACTGCATGAAATGCTAGGTTGAAGTAGATGTGAAGTGTTCCAAATAAAATGACCTTTGTGTTTGTGTATTGGTATCACCATGCTCTTCTTGTGCTGAGGTAAATGCCTCCAGTGTGAATCAATAATGCTGATAAATGAACATTGGACCCCTTCACATTTCTCCAGATCTTGCTGCCAAAAAGAATATTCTTCATAAAGAGAAGTATTTAGAAGTGAAGGAGCTTAGAAGCAGTCTGAAGAAGGCAACAGTTGATTTGAAACTGAAGGAGGAGCAGTGCATCACTGACCTACGTGGCCTCAATGGATCAGTCAAAATGTGGAAAAAACTGTCTTCTGATATTCAGGTATGATCATTTTTCTCTTTTCTAAAGCTACATGTTTGCATGTAGAGATGGTAACTAATAACTGTAATTCAAGGATATATTATTTATTGGCTATTGTGACTTATTTTGTGGTCATCACTTTGTCTAAATTCAGGCAGTTATTGGGGTTAAGAAAAATATGAACTGGCTTTGCTAGCTTTCATGTCAAAACTAGCCTCCAATAAGATATGCCAATGCACATTTCACCTACCAATAATCGATTATTGACTTATTCTCGACTTATTGACGATTATGGACTCATTGACTTATTCTCTTGCAACAGCCGTCACTACTGCCGATTTCCTCACAATTCGGAGATGTCTTGCTCTCTTGTCTGCATGAATGTTTCCATTTATATAACTGTTGTATGACTCTTCCAGCGTCACCTAGACGATGCGCACAACATGATGGACCGCAACGCGATGGTGCTGACGGCCGCGCTGGAGGCACTACGGGAGGCGGAGCTGAAGGTGGAGCGGCTGGAGAGGCAGCTCGGACTAAACGGCACCGTGGTCAGTGAAGGACGAAACAGAGCGGATGAGGAAAGGGATCTGAGTAGTCAGTTTGAAAAGGATAGAGGGTTCGGGAAGATTGAAGCGAGTGATAAGTGACGGAAAGGGAGACCAACACTGCCCTTATTTTCCTACCCTTATGGAAGGGAGAGAAAGGTGATACCGTGGCTAGTATCGGAAAGGGAGAGGGAAGGAGAGGACTGTACAGCGCTGTTAGCGGGCGGATGAAAGGAGAGCTGATTGGATGCTTCCGCAGTTACGAAGGAAACAGAGAGGGAGGGAGGGAGGAGACGGTACTAGAGAACCAGAGACTTGGGTAGTGTGGTATCGGTGGTGCAGCATTGGTCCAAAAGTGTTAACATTCCCATCTGTGGGTGATTACGCTGCTCGTTGTCTCGCCCCGCCACCGACTCGACTCCACGAGCATTTCATGACCTGTAATCCCTCACCGTTGGCTGTTGTGCGTGCCCCACAGGCCGTGGTCTGAGCTGAGCGTGCCGCTGTGACTGCGCCGGTGCACCGCCCGGCCAGTGGAGCCGTCGCAGGCAGGCTGGCTGAAGGAAGATACTCTGTTGACGGCATGGTGAAACGTCGTACGGCTATTCGGAGGCTTTGAAAAACGCCCTGCTCTGTTCGAGTGTCATTTTACGGCGATCGGTTAGAGGCTATTTTTGAATGTGTATGATGCAATGTTTGTTACATATGGGTTGCAGGAAGTTTTATATCTGTGGAATTGATCAGTATTTCCAGAATGACCAGTAACTCCGTCCAATTGACCAAACCTTACATAGCCATGACGTAGGTAACGTCAGTGTCATATGACTTGCATAGACAGCTGTTCACATCGATTTTATAGTGAATAGCCGGTCAGCATCCCGGAAATGGCTGTTGACTCCGTCCAGTTGCTGACCGATATTTTTGTACAAATATTTGTGCCTTTTTATTCGCGTAGTGGTTCCGTTGTATTGTTGGCCGTGAAGGACACGATCTGTTGTGCCAAGTTGTTATTGCGTTAGCTCGTTCGTGCGCAACTCTTTATTTTTTAAATTATTTTCCATTGTTAACCTTAGTGGCAAATGCTCGTTAGGGCTCCGTACCTGGATGTGCCAACTTCGCAGAAGAGGTGGGGAAAACATTTTAGTGTAATGCTATAGTGCGTGCTTAGGATGCCAGTTGCGGTCTCCTGTAAAAGGGACATTACTTCATATACTTACTTACCAGCTATCTGTTTAAAGTGTGCAATTTTTATACTTTTTTACGGGTGCCGAAAATGGAGGTAAAATAAAGCTGCTTCTAATCACGCCGTTGTCATACAGCACTCCGTTCAGCGACATACGAGTGCATCGTTGACCCAGTCCCTGTGACGCTGCCCCCCCCCCCCCTACCACCCCTCGACACCATACCGCACCATAATGCTTTACCATATTGTCCATCTCGCCATAGCCGCAGACCCTTCTGCCAAACCAGCTCGCTGTAGATCAATCATTCGAACAACAAAACAGCAGTGTACCCGACGGGCCAAATGTGGTGTATTTCATAATTTATATTCGTCGTATACTGTCACCACCACTAGAGCTGTAACATAGAATATATGTATACCGGGCGACTGTCAGGCGTCGCCATGTCCATAGAATGCTATTATGACTTGCGTGCACCACACGCGGCGGCCCTTTGTACAAAATCGGGACCCAAGTCACAATCACATCCCATCCGTGCCCAGCCGCCGGCAGGAGCATCCCGCCCCGCCCGCCTGCCCGCTCCCCCGCCGCACAGCATTCACGAGCGCGCGCGCGCGCCAATTATTGTCGCGGTCAGTCGGGCCACGTCGAAATACCATGGCGCCCTAAAATAGCAACAAAAAGTGCACACTCTCTTGTCATGCACCGGTTAAAAACAACCATGCCAAGGCCAAACCAACCCTAAATAAACTGGAATCATTTCAAAATAGGCTGCCCCGTCTCGGCAAGCAGATCGCGTCCCCGCCAGCCCCACGCCGCCGGGATTCAAGGAAGACACTTGTGGCTAATCACGCTCCATTCACTCTGCTCGCTCTCGCTCGTTCCCAGTCGCTCTCTCCCTCTCGCGCGCCGATCGTCAGTCCGTCCGTTAAGCAGCAGTAGCAGCAGCGGTCCGTCTCCGTCTGTCGTCTCTCTCTCTCGTCTCAGTCGTCTAGCGGCGCGGGCCCCAGACCACCGGCGTGCGGTTGGCCGTGTCTCCGAAGCTGGGAAACTCCTCGGCGCTGGCCATGTTGGGGGCCATGGAGCGGGCCGCAGGCTGGCGAGCACCGGCCGCCGCCGCCTGCTGCTGCTGCCACGGGGCGCCGCTCACCACGAAACCGGCCCTGAGCGGGGAGAGCGGGGGAAGTTAGAGGCGAACCAGGGACAGGGCGGGAATCAGGGGATACAAAAGATTAGAGCGACATCGTGAGAAAATTAAGCACTGGATTTTAGATGAGTGGGTTTTGTATCGGACATGTCGTGTGGCAGAGTTCTGAGATAATTAGAGCGATCTAACTGATAAACCACCAGGAAAGAGACATATGACATAACAGTCGAACCCGATACGCCAAATTGTACGGCAGCTTTCAGGAAATTCCCTACACACCAGCTTTACCAGCCGCCACTTCACGATACACCACCGTCGCCCATCCCCCGGCCCCTCTCCCCCTCTCACCTGTCGGTGCGCTCGGTGCTCTCTCCGTTATACCCAGTGTCCCTCGGGCCGCGCACGTGGGCGTTCATCTCCTCCCTCTCCACCACATCCTGCATGTACTCCTCCTCGAGGTTACGGAGGCGCTCGGCGCACTCGAACACGGCGTCCTCTGCTCCGGTGATGACGACCAGGTCCGGCTCCGGGTCGTCGTAGCGCGGGAAACGCACGTCCACCTGACGGAAGGTGCGGGGAGGGGTGGTTAGGGGTATGGGGGACGTTTGTATTTAGGAGGGGTAGAGGTGGTGGGAGGGCCTGCCATGGTGCTGTGGGAGGTGGGTGATGTCGATGCTAAGTTCTGAACAGATCGAGAGAGGCTAGTTTAAGTTTATGATGGAGAAAGTGGACGATTTTCCAGATCAAAATTGCGGTACTGGCGCGTATGCTGTAGAAGGCGTGCGAGTTGAGACATGATATGTGCCAAGCCATATCTGTCAGCTATTTCTGAAGTTTCCATCACCGGTTTCTCACGCACTGAGCCATTGCTACCCGTGAGCAATAATTTAATCAGGTCTCCACCGCACAACGCGCGTTGGACACGCATGTCCTGGCCGCTGAGCGTTCAGGGCACGCAGTGAGGCAGGCAGATTAGTCGTGCAAAATTGGGGCAAGCCGTCCCCGGTCGGGACAGTCGCACAGCCTGCGCTCCGCCAAAGCGCCCCGTATAGCATCACGGGGTCAGTCATGATCGTACTGGGCTACGATAATGGTACACCCGAGACAGAACGCACTAACATGCAGCAGAAATGATCCCTATTACCCTGAATTATTCACCACGATACCGGCGAGGCGAAGGCAATGAGCACTCACTCGTCACGCACTCTGGTACTAGAGTAATGGTCATAACTACATAGATTATAATCAACAATCCGCCCCTAGGAAGCAACCAGTCAAAGACCCACAACATTCATACTAACCTAACCCCAGCACAAGCGTCCAACCCTACCAGCAGTTTCTTTTCACTACTGCTCAGCAAAGTGAAAGTGAAAAGTCCGACAAAGCACAAATCCCCATCCTCATGGAGTCTAACCACGGTCGGTACCCATATGTCTTCATAAACCGTCAATGTAGCGAGAGCTGAAGACGGCAGCGGCGAAAAACACTGGCTGGGTTCAGAAGCAGACAGTTATGGGCCGGGTATCGGGTGGTGGACCCCACTCTAATGCGCCCGACGGTGGCAACTAGTTCGGTCGACTGATATATACGGTACGCCCGGGTACGAGAGGTAAAATGTGTGGAAGAGAGGGGTGTGGGTCTCTGGTGTCGATGGGTTGAACTCGCTACCCTAGCCAGCCAGTGAGTCACCATGGAATATTTTGCGCATTCTTAATATTTTGCTACCATGGTAGACACCAGTTGCTGCATTCGGCATGAAAGCTAAATAAAATTATCCGCACCTTCAACGAATGCACCATTCATTAAGTCCAGTTGCGCATTAATTAGCATACACCACGCTCAACCTTCACTGTCAACTCACCTCCAACCTCCCAAAGTCCAACACCATATTCAGCTCCCCCATCACTTCCCATCCCCCGTCACGCACCTGGAACTCGTTCATGATGGCGCGGATGTTCTTTCCGCGCCCGCCGATGATGCGTGCGTGCACGCGCGGGTCGATACGCAGCTCCTCGCGCGACTGTGACTCCAGGTCGCCGACGATCTGCCGGATGGCGGCCTCGGCGGCGTGCGCCTTCTCCTCGTAGCCAGTGATGGTGATCAGGTCCGGCTCCTCAGAGTCTGACAGAGACGGACGAAAGGGGGTTACATATTATAAAGGTAAAAGTATGAAGACGGGTTTAACCAACAACCCGTCACTATTATAGAGTTGAGGCTGAATGAGACGCACGAGAGAAAAACTGAGTGAGAAAGAAATCCGGCCTATGATTGCATTTTCATGCTAAGAGCTACGACCTCAGAAATACGGACTGCGATACGAGAAAGCATATACCAGACACGGTTTTGATATTCGGCGGGTTTTAACTTCATGCTTTCTAAAAAAAAATGAATATCAGTGTCGCCCTCAAACCATCACCAAATTTATTCCCCAACTCCCTCCTCAGAGCCGCTCCTGCTCACCCTTCTGCGGGAACTGGACGTTGACCTCGTGGTCCAGCCGGATCTTGGAGATGACGGCTCCCTTGCGGCCGATGATCTTGGGGTGGTAGTCGGGGTTCACGCGCATAGTGAGGGTGAACGAGCGCAGCTCCCGGTCGGCCTTCTCGGCGTCCAGCTCCTTGACTCGCTGCAGCAGGCCCTCGCGGGCGTCGTCCAGCTGAGGGATAAGGGCGGTGGGGGTGAGGAAGAGAAGATACCGTCCCGGATTCTCCCGGAGCAAGTACAACTGAAGAAGAACGGGGATAGTGAGACACCGAAAAGAGACGTGTAGACTGACCATCGAGTTAAATCATTAGAAAAAGTAAGCCATGACAGCATTTTCGCCGTGACTAATGAGAACGGCGTCTGCGAAAGGCGTTAAAAACCTAAACTGACCTACATCAATTCAAGGCAATGCATCCTCCCTCATCCATCCCTTCCGGGGATCACCCGGCGTCATACTGATTTTCACCTTGTCCGGCGTGCCGGTGATGCGGATCACGTTCGAGAGCTCCTCGGCAGGCGGGATCGAGATGTTGACGTCGAAGTTCCTCATCATGTCGCGCACACCCTTGCCCTTCTGGCCGATGATGAAGCGGTGGTAATCGAACGGCACTTCCACCTGTGCACAGCGGGGAGGACGTCAGTGGATCGCGAGAGACAGGGGCGAGAAACTTCATCTATCGCTAGACTCCGATGTGTTGATACATCGGGCACACGTTTTAATACTTAGTAGCCAGCTCAATATTCAGAACGACAACACAGCATTCACTACCCCATTATTCAAAGAGGAGTCAAGCAAGTTTGCCATGAATCAGAATGCTGCAAGCGAGAAACATCGTCATAACAAGACTCAAGCAAAGGTCACCTAAAATCGTCTTACACTGTATGAAGCACAACATCAATTTGCCTAAGCCAATCCAACAACTTATCATTCACATGACTACACCTGTCCAAATATTCAGCCATCAGTTCAGAAATATTGCATCCACCCACCTCGATGGTGATGGGCACCAGGGCCAGTAGTGCGTCCCGTGCCGCCAGGCAGGCCGCCTCTGGTCCGGTGACCCGGATCAGGTCACAGCGCCGGGGACCCGCCTCCGACTCCTCTGAGCCGTTCTGCGCCGGCGGCAGCGCGTTCGGGTCAGCCCGGTCCGGGAACTTGATCTGCACCTGGTGGTTCTGGGTGATTTTCTGCACGTGCATACCGCGCGCGCCCATCACAGTGCCGTGGTGCTTCTGCGGGATCTCCACCTCGATGGTCACCTGCGACTCCTGATGGCAGAGACGGGCGGGGGAAGCGGGTTAGCGCGCATAACTTTGAAGCAAGGCACACTTATGGCGTAACGGTAAGCCGCATTCACTTGGTATATTCCTCCCACCTTCATTCCCATCACATTCTCCTATGCCTTCTCCAGCCATTGGCAGCAGACATCCCCGCCGCCAACACAGCCCTAAGTCCTATATCATACCGCCCCGACCGCCAACACAGCCCTATATCTCGCCGCGCACACAGCCCTCCATCCCGCCGCCGCGGCCGTGTGCCACACTGATGGTGATTGTCGGCTCTCTGTCGCCGGGCCGGGGGGCTCTCGGCGGCGGCACGTCCCTGCCATAAGGTAGCACTAGGAGCGGGACATGACTCCGTCGGGACGGACGCAGTAGGCCGCCGACGGCCGGTTAATTCGCAGCGGTCGTACAGCGGAGACTTTTAGGGAGGTGAGATTGGTGTGGGGAAAGCCCGGGAATTAAAAGTTGAGCAACTTCACGCCTCGGGACATAATGGCCTGGCAACGTAGTATTGCAGGCTGCTGCAAGTTGTAGCATATGAGCTCAAATCTATGCTGCTTAGACAATTCGAAGAATCATATCATTACATACTAGGACGTGACCTACTAACTCACCTAGCATTACACCCTTCCCTTCAGCTCCCATAACTACAAATTGCACTTGAACGTCAACGTCAGCCCATGACGGCCCAACGTACGTCAAATTACTACCGACCACGACCAACAACCGGTCCCAGCGACCAAGTCACCATAGCAGCAATGGCTAAACACGCTACTGACCGAGCCGGGGACCACGGCGGTATAAATCACTTCCGGACACTAATCACAGCACCTGTGCCGGCAGAATGGCGACTCACGCAGTGAGGAAACAGTCGGGGATGACTGAGCCGCAATGCCAATTCTGTACTTATACTTTCTATTCCATCTCCCCATCAGCAGCAGTAGGGGAACTTATTATTTTCCTTTCCTCTGTTTAGTTGGCCTCTCGACACTGTAATTAGCAGGCTGATACCAGGTCGTTTGTTTGTTCCATCACCACCCTTCGCTATACCGATTGTCCCTTCCACACGTAAAATTGTCCCGCCTAACATCACTTGCATGAAATATATCCCTAGTCCCAACACAATGGCATGACGATCCCTGCCATTCCGTCCCCGACCCTGACTCCCCGTATACTCACCAGTCCGTCGACGATCTCCTGGATGCGCTGTTTGGCCGCCTCCACACACTCCTTGGCGCCCTTCAGCGACACCGTGTGGCTGTCACTGCCCGAGCGGGGGAAGCTGACGTCCACGCCGCCGAACTGGGCCTTGATCTCGCGCAGAACCTCGGCGCGCCGCGACACAAAGTGCCGGTGGTGTTTGGGGTCGACGCTCATCTCGGCCATCACGGTCTGGTCCTGTGAGTGGTGGGGGGAATGGCGTTAGAGCTGTGGGGAGGTGAAGGTGTGGCAGGGGCTGTTGGAGAGCTGGGGTGGCAAGCTGAATTTAGGAAGGTTAAATTAGAGGTTTCGTAATATGTTAAAGTCGCAACATTTGACTCGCTTACGATGTTCATGAGTGCGATCATAAAATCAGTGTCGCTCGTCAGCGTCATAACACCGCAAAAGTCGCACATAAAACCAACCCGAACACCAACCCGCACTGGTTGCCCCTACAAGTTACAACTCTCCCATTCCGCACTCACCAGGTCCTTGATGAGTTTCTCCAGCTGCTCCTTGGCCCGCTGCACGTCCTCCTTCTTGCCCATGATGGTGATTATTTCACAGTCCTTGTCGCTCTCGCTGGGGAACACAATCCTGGTTCCCGTGCCCGTCCGCAGCGCCTCGATCTTTGAGCCGTTTTTGCCTGGAGGAAGGGTCAGAAAACAACGGTTACTGGGCCGTCGGGACGTCGAGCCGCTGGTCGATAGGCTGTCTGGCTGAGTGGTAATAAATAACGCGAGGCTATTTACAGACCGGCCATTTGCCGCCTGTTGTCTTTTGGTACGACACCGAGCAGCCGTAACATAATTTGGCAGTATCGGGACCGGGCAGGCCAGGCCAGAGTTCCGCATCATTGCACCTTGGCGAGCAGTGAAATTCAATGGTCGTCAGCTGTGGTGATGGAATGGACGTTCCTCGTTGATATCAGAATAAACTGCCTGCAACGCCACCGCATAGCAAATAAACTAAGTAGTGCCTTAAGGTCAGATGCGCAGCCGGGGCTTGTACTGTTCCCTCAACACCAACAAAGCTGTTAGACGCATGAAAACCCCAATCCCAAGCATGCAAATCGAGAGCCATAAAAAGTGCGCCGAATGCCCACAAAAGATACCACAAGGACTATTATTGGTACTTGTACAAAAGTCAATGGCACTCGAGCGCAGCCCAACTGAGTCTCCCCATCCCCCTTCCCACAATGAGTCCCAGCCCTCTCCTATGGGAGTTAAACACTAGAACACTTAAAGTCACACTTATAGTCACACAGTAACACTCCTAGTCACTGACCGATAAGGAAGCGATGATGCTCGTGCTTGGCGCGCACCTCGGCCGTGTGCCCGTTGAGCGTCTTCTCGTTAGCCAGCTCGGTAAGGATGCCCTCGGCCTTCTCCACGTCATCCTTGGGGCCGCGGATTGTTACCTGTAGGGTAGAGATGGTACCGGGGAGTGAGCGTATGTAGGGAAGGGGTTAGATCACTCACAGTCAGCCAGTGTAAGGAGTGTGGACATTGTTCAGTGATCACCCAGACACTATAGGGAATGAGAAAATTACTGTCAGTCAGTATGGTGGGCGAGAGCTCCACCTGTACGCACCATGGTGAGAATAACGTGGAACATCGCCGGTCAGATGAAAATAATGAGCAGGAAATGAGAACGCCATTCAGAAGGGAACATTAGTGCGACATACGCTCGGGACGCCGGGGCACGGGTAACACTGATTGACGCACTCACAAAAAAAATAGCTGACTGCCACTAGATTTCGTTCGTGCATAATTTATCGATAGGTTACGCTATGAGTTGCAAGAAACTTAGATGTGCAATATGGGACCAAATAGCCGACTTCGCTTACGCCAGCGTTGCTCGGCAACCGAAAAACGGTGACGTCAAAGGCCCCGAAAATGCTCAGGTAATCGATGACTCGTTGGACAGGCATACACACACATTTGGGACGTACATACAGCGCTCGATGTTCTACCTACACACTCATCGCATAAAACACGGCTATATACAGAGGAGACGTAAACCAGCAGGACTACGCTGAAAATAAAATAAAACGGCGCAGCTAGCCAGGCAACTAAAAAGACACATTGCCAGCTGACAGTCTAGAACAGCCAGCGGTACAAGACTCTCGTTTCAGCAGCCAGAAGCGAGCGCCGCGTGCTCAAAAGCGCTGCGTGTGTGGCGGCCAGCCGGGCGGTGTCTGGGGAGGGAGGACGTCTCACAGAGCGCTACTCACTCTGTCTGTGCCCAGCTCCAGGGCCAGCGCGTGCCGCGGCGGCGCCGGCCTGCGCCGACCACCTACCTGACGGTGCGACTGGCACACGGTGGAGAGAGAGCCGCGGAGGAGACGGGGAGAGTGAGTGGGGACGTCAGGTTGGGGACGCACGTGGGTTAGATTATTATGGTACTATGCTACAACAATTTAGTGAGAACTGTGGCGTAGATGTTATGTAAGCAAGAAACAAGTTAGTTTAAAGTGTGAAAGCATATTGCCCTTAGAGACACGCGAGTTTTGAAAGCATTCCGTGCGCCTATCAAATAGGGTACTTTGAGAAAGCAAAAAATCGACAGCCGGAGTATAGTGACGAAATTTCAAGTCGCTAGAGTTTTGTCTGTCAGAAACAATGCATTGTGCATAAAGCAATGAGGCAATAAAACGTTAATGTACTGTGTCATTAAGATCACGCAAATGGGGAACTCTTGTTCCTAAACTGCACATGGCCTGCCCACGCGGCAATTATGGAACAGCTCTGGGCCATCGCACTACAATGGCGCACCAGCTGTTGACGCCGGCCGTAAATACACCCGGACTACCATAGCCGCCAATCAGGTGGGGCCATGCGACAGTGGCTGTTTGACAAAATACCGCTGGTGACGTCACGGTGACGTCAGAGGTGGTATCGGTAGCGGCGGCGCCGGCCGGTCGGCAGGGGCCGCCGCTCGAGAGCGGCCCGCGGGCAGCAGCGGCTATTTTAAAACGGCAGACAGCCGCCGATGCTATTATTAACGACACGTTGCTGCAGAGATTGAAGGTGCCGCTTTCATCAAAAATAGGAGTAGTTCTAAGTTCGAACAGCTGAAGTGGGTCAATCTATAAGCTTGAACGGCTATGAATAGCATAGCATAGCAACCAGCATAGCGACGGCACCAACACGACGCTAAGCCCACAGCTGACTGACAAGCTAACTCAACGCCTAAACTAAACCCTCCAAACCTACCTAGCTGGGTAAAGCCTTTAGCCATCAAGCGTCTACCACCACCTCCCCCCCCCCCCCACCCCCCCCCCCACCCCCACCCAAGCCCCACAGCCCTCCTACCTTGTCAGACTTGCTGTCGGCGGACGGGAATTTAATCTGCACGCCGCCGCACTCCTCCATTATGGACTGGATGAGGCGACCGCCCGGACCGATGATACTGTTGTGGAATTTGCTCGGCACGTTGATGTCCTTCTGGATGATATTATCCAGCTCGTTCTGAATCTTCTGAATCCGGTCACGGGCAGCGAGGACGTCTTCCTTTCGACCAGTGATGACGATTTCGCTGCTCTCGGAAGACTCGTCCGGCAGGTCGATCCGCGTGTTGGTCTCGTCGCGGATTTTGCGGATGTTGACGCCGCCCTTGCCGATGATGAACTTGTGGTGCTGCTTGTAGATCGAAACGCGCTCCTGTTGAAAGGAGAAGGCACATCAGCGGTCGGGAGGAAGAGAGAAAGATGCGAGAGATGAAGCGATCATCCGATACAAAATCTCCATGAATTGTCTAAAGAAAAACAATAAAAAAGACACGCTTTGCCAAAATTGTACGATTCAAATAATGCCGCAGGGCACCGTAAGGGAATTTGATGATTGGTAGTCGATGACATACTCGGCACACATATGCACGATAATCAATATCGGACTATACTCGGCGATACGCGGTCGCACATGAAATAATAATGGCAGTCTGTATATGAGCGCGTAGTATGGCAAGCACCCCGCGGCGAGCGTCCTGTTGAGCACCCACCTGGTACCCGGACTCCATGAGTCCCTTGACCAGCTTCTGCAGGTGCTTGTACGACTGGTCCACCATGTCCTTCGGGCCGCGGATCTTCACCACGTCCGACTTCTCACCTGTTGGAGACGAAAAGACGGTCAACGGTTATAGTCCACTTGTCTGTCTTCCAGCACCGCAACTTATCCACAATCCTCGATCATAATTGTTTCGTTTTAGACTAAACGACAAAATCTTTCGGCCATTGTGCACCATGGCTGAGCACAGTACCTATTTGAAAATCGGCCCGGCAGTAAAACAATCTCGCTTAATGCCCTTAGGCTTCTCCGCTCGAAGCCCCTTCCCTTCCCATCAACTCGAGGAATCCCCACACTCTAGCCTCTGTCTCATTCTACGGACTCACCCTGCCGGGGGAAGACAATCTGGACCTGGTCAAACTGCTGTCGGATCTGGGTAATGTTCTCGCCCTTCGTGCCAATAATCTGCCGGTGGAAGCGGCTCTCGATGATGATGTCCCGCTCCTTCTCGTTCTCCATCTTGTTTTTCATGTCCAGCAGCTCGGCCTTGGCGCCCAGCACTCCCTCCTTGGGACCCTCGATCTTGACGATGGTGGAGGCCTCGTTCTCCGGGATCGAGACGTAAACACCGTGCTCAGCCTTGATCCTGTGGGACGCGAGGGTGGAACTCTAGGACTGCGCATGTATGCATTGATGTCCAGAGCTTTCCACATAATGGCGAGGCAGTTATATAAGTTCGGGCATCAAGGCGTGAGCGTAGCTGAAAGTGTACCTGGTGTTCACTTAGAAACAAGACCTTCATCTATTTCACATCGTTCTGTGAGGGATCCAAACTACACACTCACCCGATCGCTGTCATTTCGACCACCCTTCATCCCTATCCCCACTACACAGCACCACGCGCCATCACCGGCCTTCACAAACCTGTTGATGTTGGCTCCAGCCTTTCCGATGATGTGCTTGTGGTACTTGGTGGGAATGTCCAGCTCCTCGACACACATGCTGTCCTCCAGCTCCTTGGCGCGAGCCGCGATCCTCTCGCGGGCCTTCTCCACATCTTCCTTAGGTCCTTCGATCTTCACCTTGCTAGAGCTGGTGTCGAACTCAACGTGGACCTAGACAGACAAACGCGTGGTTAGGACGTGAGATGGTGGTTCGCGTTGGGTTTAGAAAACTGCGGCGATTGAGTGTCCTTATTACAAGTCACGATCAGACGTGCTGGATAATCTGGTAGGTAATTGTGCACAGCTGTGCTTACGCGTAACGAGTGCAGCTTGTGGATGTCTTATCAGTAAGCAAAATTGAGATAGTAAAGAGCAATGTCTTCGCTGGGTTCTAGAGTGGGTGTATGGTTCCGAGACTTGTCTGTTGGGGCTCAGGGCTGTGTTGATATCGAGGGATCGACGTCAGTTAGCCGCCTGTTTTCAATAAAAAGCGATAGGTAGCATGACTCAGCAGAATTCAGCGAACGGCCTAATGGCGGATAGATCAGCTGTAACGCCACTGCGGAGCTGAATGTCTAATTGAGCCGCGGAACGAACGCCATGGCCGGGAATACAGACAAATCGCGCTAAGCTTGGCGCTGTAAATCTGCCACAGTGAGTCGGAGGCTGCAAGTTTGACGCTGCTAGTCAGAGACTGTAAGCCTAACGCTGTAAAATATCTGCCACTGTATGTCTAACACGATACGTCTGATATTCAAAGTCAGACAGACTGACTGACGCTAATCGTGCTTTCGTTGTTCGGTGCAGTGACAGACGGCCAACCAGAGACCGATCAGTGAAGGGACAGGGGCGGATGAAGGTAGCGACAAGGGTAGCCGGGGGGGGGGGGTCATGGCAGAGGAGGGGGAATGACGACTGACAGCACACAGGTGGCTGAAAATGTCAGAAGTATGACACGGAGCTTCATGTACAGACGGCATGTCACAGCAGCTGAGACAACCAACGGGCGGATTGGGGACAGACGCCCGGGGGCGTGCTCCGAGTGGCACCATGCACAGCGCCAGCAGACGGAGACCCAGCAGGGGAGCAGGTCATCACACACCGTGACGAAACATTGAGATGTTACCACCAGCCGCCATGACGTCAACAACCCTTCCTGACGTCATCAAACTTAACTGACGTCATCAGCGTTCACTGAAGTGATTACCAACCACTAATACATAAACAATCACTACATCTGAGCACCCCACCCGCTCGCACTAACCTTAGGAATATCGGAAGTGATGGCCTTGATGTCTGCGCCCTTCTTGCCGATGATGTATTTGTGGCACCAGACGGGTGCGTTTACTTCGGTCATCACCACGCTGTTCGCCTTGTCGTACACCATAGTCAGCGCTGTCGGCGGGGGCGGGGGCGGGGGCGGCGCGTCAGAGCTCGGCTTTAGGTCGGCCCGCCGGCCGGAGCCGAGGTTCCGGCTCCGTCAGGGGGGAGGGGTACCGACCGCATGCTGACAAATGGCTGACGGCTGTCACGGGTCGCCACGCGCCATGGTGTCATCGGTCGGGTGGGGGAGGGGTGGTACGACCGGCCGCGGTGTCGCTCGAATGGCCGGCGGGAGAGTGAGTCAGCGGTAAATTGTCATTGGAAAACCATCAGACAGCCTGGTCGGCAGCGATGGGACGACACTATCTCCTAACCGCTTAGGCCCCGGACACGTTCGACACGGTAAAGAAAAAAAATAGACAATAAGATAGATGATCAGCAAGATAGAAGAAAACGGTAGTCTATAAGACTGTCTTCACATTCTCAAAGCGTCCACTTCAACACTTTCCCTGATACCTGCTTTGCTTCTCTTTCACTTCCCTTCTCCATTCACTCTAGCTAACGCCTACCCTTCCCATCTTTCTCTCCAATCCACTACCCAACGCTTTCCCTGGCTGTTCCCACTCTTCCTCCCCTCTCCTCTACCCCTTCCTCAACTCACCCTGTCCGAGCTTATCCTGGGGTCCGCGCAGCGTAATCGTATCCGAAGTCGAGTCGGTCGGCGGCATCTCCACAAACACGCCCGTCTTCTGGAGGATCTCGGCGATGTTGTTGCCGCGCGGCCCGATCAGGTACTTGTGCTGGGCCTTCACCACCTCCACACTAACACAGGTGCAGGTGCGCTGCATTTCCTCATAGATGGCCAGGATCTGCTGTTTGGCGCGCATCACGCCCTCCTTCTCTCCCGTGATGGTCAGCTCGTCCTTCATCACGGAGAGAGGAGGCATGTTGATGCGGATGCCCGGGTTCTCGTTCTGCATGCGCGTGATGTTCTCGTTGTGAGCGCCGCAGATGAATGGGTGGTACTTCTTGGGAACCTCGAGCTTTTCGTAGGCCTGCTTCGACTGGAAATCGACCGGGACAGACAGGGAGCGATCAGCGGGGAGTGGACAAGTGGCGGAACAGCCGGAAAAGGGCATTAACTAGACACTGGATATCAAGCTATACATTTGAATCACGACAGATATTTTTGTGGACCTCATCAAAGGCAAGACCAGCTCCGAAGTGGTCTCCAAAACTGGTCATCGGATTGGCGAGTAATTAGAGTAAGTCTGTGTATTAGTTCAAATAAAAAATAAGCAGTGATACTTTGATCAACACGCTCTTACACAAGCCCCGCCCCTCCCCACAGACAGTCCTCATACCCAGCGCGTATCCATAATTATTCACCCTACACCCCAGCACCCCTTCCCTTCACCCCACGTCCACCCTCCTTACCTGCTCGTCGCTGATCATCTGCAGTTCGTGGATGGCCTTCTCGATACCCTCCTTGATTCCCGCCACGGTGATCTTATCGCTCGGGTCGGCCTGTCCCGGCACCTGGATCTTGGTGGCCGTCTGTGTCTCCAGATCGCGCAGACGCTGACCGCCACGGCCCAGGATGAACCGGTGGTGCTCCTTGGGGATGGTGATGCTCTGCGTGGCCTGTCGGTCGGTAGGGAAAGGTGTGGGGTTAACGGGAAGGGAAGAAGCTGCTTTTGTGTGGCACGGGATAAACCCGATAGACAAGTTGGTGAGGAAATGTTGGGAGTTGCAATCCAATGCCTACGTTCCGGATTTGGTAGGTACTTGAACACTAGAGCTACTCGCCAATTCAACGCGAAAAAAATCGGTGACGAGCATTTCAAAATGCCCAGCCAGAGTTACAAAACAAACTCAGATAAATAAGCCGGTATCTCCGCATAATGTCCATGTAACCATTCCCCTTCCCCAAACCCTGATATCCGTCCCACGCGCCCTTCTGGATCTCCCTGGCCCCTCCCCATTGCTCCTCCTCATCCAGTGGCCGCACCTGGGTCTGGAAGTTTTCGAGGATGTGGCGCTTGGCGCGCAGCACCTGCTCCTGCTTGCCGCTGATCATGAAGGTGAGGCTGCCGTCACGTCCGGTCGACACCTCGATGTTGGTGCCCGTCTTCTGCATGATGTCACCACAGCGCGTGTAGGAGCTGTCCTCGCCAAACTTGCTGTCCGACTTGCGCTCCTCCGTGGGCACGTGGAACACCTGGGTGAGAGGGAAGGGGAGGGGAGGTCAGGAGCCGAGCCGGTATCGGTCTTTGGGCGGTAGTCGGCGCCGACCGACCCCAAAGGTCAATCGGTAAGTGCAGAAGATAGCCTACTGGGGGCCGGTAATCATGAGCGGCTTAAAGACCGCACAATCACAAAGAACGCGATAGTCTCGGCCCCTAAGTGGGTACATGACTTCCCCCACGTGACAGGTAACATCGGTCAGTGGCATAACAGCCACGCACGAGACCCCGACCAGACCGGGAAGGAGGGGGGGGGGGGGGGGAGAGCACACGTAGTGGGACCAGCCGGTCGGACCGCGAGGATCCCACACAATTGAGCGATAACAATCTGGGTCGCGGCGGCGGCGGAGGCAAGCAGTGACGTCATACTGGTCAGCCGGGGTATGACTGGTCGCTCACCGACACCAGTCTGTGCCACAGTCACAATGACTGGGACCGTTTAATTTTACGATGGCCGGATGGACAGTTAACGATAAACATTTAGAAAAAGGCCACCAAAAATCCAGAATTAACTGGGACTGTTATTCTGACTTAGTGAGTGATAGTGTTGGACTTAGTAGTGAGAGTGGTATCGGTAGTATTAAGTGGTCCGTACTGCAGATTCATGTCAGAAAGTATGATCAGCAAAATATATCACTGTCATTCTGCTCATAGCACAGTCACCATGTCTGACCCAGCAACCCCAAACCCAATTATACCTAACCCTACAAGCTTGATTGCCTAGCCACGTCGTTAACTCCTTATCACACCCCCCACTGACCACAAGTGTCTGTGTTGTGCCATCCCCCACTAGCTGTACCCTCCCCTGTCCCCTCTCTCCATCTTTCCGTACCTGGGTGACACTCGACGTTCCCACGCGCATGCGCTGCGCCCACGGGTTGGTCTGGCCGGGCGTGGGCCCGCCGGCCTCGATGCCGCTGTCGGGCAGTGCCGGGAACAGGTCGTTGTAGGAGACGGGCGCCGGCGCGTCGGCGGCCGGCGTGGGCTCCGAGACCCCTTCCGGCGCCGCGGCCGGCACCGCCTCCTCCTCCTGCTGCTGCTGCAACTGGCTCTGGTCCATGTTCGGTCCGAGTCGATACAGTACACTGCAGAGGGGACGGTCATAATATGAGATACCGTGTCCATGTTCGGTCCGAGTCGATACAGTACACTGCAGAGGAGTTTATCATAATATGAGATACCGTGTCCATGTTCGGTCCGAGTCGGTACAGTACACTGCAGAGGGGCAGATGGGGAGGGGAGGGTCATATGCACAGGGGAACACTCATAGGGGTCAGAATGACACTGTGAGTAGCCAAAATAGATAAATGGGAATTGGTGAAATAGATGAAAGAGAGACAGCCATTATGGGCATGAAACTAAGTGATACCACAAAGGTAGAGTTTCTCTCAATTGGCCAGCATTTTGAGCTCTTGGCTGGCAGAGTTGGTTTAGGTAAGTAAGGCAGGAATATTATGGTCTATCACCAAGTGACAGAGTGAATCACCATGCTAAGAAATGAGACTTGGGATTGCTTAGGTACTGCTTTGGCTCAATTGTTGGACATAAATTTTTTTTTAGAGCCATTTCTAACAATTTTTTTCTCACAAATTATACAATAATGGCCCATCCAGCAATAGCAGAACGCATTGCATGCTGATGATTTAGTCATCAAGGCAACTGATCAATAGCATGTTCAATTTATACTCACTGAACTAATGTTTCATTCACATTGATCGTCCAGAATTTGACCTGTCTAGCATTTCAATCCAAAAGCTTAGATAATGGAAAATATTCCTAAGCAATAATGTAAATTGAGATTCTCTTCAGAAAATAACAGGTGTGAATTACTCAGTTTCCAATTTACCTTCCTTACATTCCCAACATGAATGACTTACATATCCACATAGGGGCAATAAAACCCTTATCATGAGCAGTGCTGGAAATGTTATTTTGTTTGTTTGTTTGTTTGATGGGGTTAGGGGCCCGCCAACTGTTATGTCATTTTGTGCTCAGCAAATGTCATTTCAATGATTCCCATATGTTTCTATTTTCATCCCAAAATTATTTTTCAACATGTTAATTATAAAAATGAAATCAAACACGTTACATAACAAAGTACTTTCAAGATTGCAAAATATTTCAGTTTGGTATCATTATAGATCTGCATCTTATGTGGGAAAGGTCAGTGCAATGCACTACACTCAATTTTAGAATAGCTGCCCAAAATTGAAATGAATTTACTAAGAAAAAATCAACTGTTGCAATGAATTCAGTTTATTTGAAATTGAAATGAAATTTAATCTGATACTAATGAAGTAGTTTTGTTTTTATGAAGTTAAGGCCTTGTACCTAAACCAAACATTTTACCTGAAATACCAATTTAATTTGCAGAACAATTGTAAAATTTTTAACAGCTCTCGTAATTACAACAGAAAATGAGGGATTAGACAGACAGAAATCTTAAAAGATCATGGCTATAATAACTCAACTACATGGTGTGTAATGCATGCATCATTTAATTAGAAAGCATGAATGATGGGAGGGTGAACCATTCAGTTTCCGAACAAAACATGATTAGGCCTATATAAATTATTTGATATTTTGGTCCTCCATTGACATGGCAGGCTTTGGAAATTAGAGTGAATGTCAAAACTTAATAAATGAGCCTTCCTCAGAGCACATATACATATTATTTTGGCATTATTATGAGCCAGAACCATCAAATATACACAATGTTAAGGTCAACTTACAGTACTGATTCCGTGAGGTCCGTCCTAAGGTACTGGAAATCCTTTAGTGGGATCCACTTTGTCGTTGGATTCTGAAAAAGATGAGAGGTTGTCAACCCCTTAAAATATCAAAATAGCAATAAAACCCAAAGAGACATAGCACACGTGCACCCACTCACCAGTCCAAAACGACACAAGACCGATTTCTACTGCGCCTGCGCAGTGCCAGGGCACTCGCACAGCTGATGCTGACGTTACGCGGAGGATCACAAACACATAAAAAATGTGGTTTCTTGGATAGATTGGGGTCTATTTAGCTAGTTAATGTTTAGGAAGTTGTCAAGTAGCAAAAATTGAGCCAGATTACGGGTAATTGTATTTGAGAATTGAGCAAATACGAGCACTATTTTTCTTGGAGAAGAAAAGCAGCAGGTAAATTATTTATGGCGACAGGTGTGATTTATGAAATGTCTAAAACGCATTTGATCTGCTATTTACTGACAAGTTAACACCTTCCTTTCATTTCATCGTCACCAAGTCCGCGTTGATATGGGTCAAAGTTGTCTGGTCAATTGACTGCGTCACATGCACTAAAATTCAACAACCTTCGATCAGCACTTCATCTGACCTCGTTTACCATGCTCGGCCAAATTTCACCCTTCAAAGCATCCTCAATTTGTTTTAGAGCGTTTAGCCGTCTACTTTTCATATGCCACACCCAACCGTTGAGCTGGGCTTGTTGCACCACCGGCGGGTCCAGTGAGCCGTTAAAATCAGGGAAGAGAACTGAGGAAACCATGAACGGTTTTTGTTGATTTATTGAACGGTATTATATCATACGAGCACTTTTGCCGCTTACCTACTTTTGCAGTTTGCTTCCTCGTAAAAGCGCGACTCCTTTTCCCGTCGTTTTTCCCCTATGGCATACCTATGCGAAAATGGAACAATTAGGTACCCTAGAATGATGCGACTACCATAGTACTAGTACAGGAATGCTTTGAAACGAGTCCGTCTTGCAGTGACCATTTTTAACGGCTCCGTCGTAACTTTCTAACCGGACCTCGTCGCGTGCCATCAGCAGCTAAAACCATCTTTGCCCCCTATCACAGTCATAATGGCCAGTGGAACAAGGCATCACCAGCGCCCAAACAGCACTTCACCAGACCTGCGAAATGCATATAGCAACAGCACACCGGTATGAAAAATGTTACTTATATTTCCACATAAGCTGCGTTATACCTTGACGCCAAGGTTCCTCTCTCGGCACACGCCCCGCACATACAGCCATCACTGCGAGACAACTGCCACTCGCACAAGTCGGGCGGACACCCCGCCAGGACCGCCGTCTTCCCGGTGACCCGTGGGTAGTCCGACCGTCCGAGGCACGTACCCAGCGACACACCGCCACACACAAACGGAGCGCGGCCGGTCGCCTCACACGGCAGCGCACTGGCCATAACTAGATATCATTCCTGATGGCAGACACGTTGGCTACGCAAAGCTCAGAATCCCCCAGCCCATCGGCTGGCGGTGACCATAGCGATTAGCTATAGTCGGGTCAGAATAATAAAACATACATGTTGCACACGAAAAATAACTCGCTTTTCGGCGACCGATTCCGACAGCCTAGCGAGCATACTGCAAACGAGACACGTTCCCATGGTTAAATGCGGCAATACGTAGCGCTGATAAACGGTTTATCATATGATACACATAAATCAATGCCAAGCACGACGTCAGCACACACAGCAGCGACATGCATAACTTGCAAGCGGTCACACGCGTACAGCGCACTTGACACACATGGTAAGCTACGCAGTAAACCAGTTTTGACATTTGCATGTAAGTTCCGGGATAAATCGAGACTCGTAGAGCGTTTACCTATAACGCGCTAGCAGCCTTTTGTCGAATCAATGAAATACTAGACAGAACCGTAAAATGATCAGAGCTATGCAGGCAACATTTTTCACTCACAAGTTGACAAAAAAAAAACGGAAAAATAAATAAGATTACGAATGACTGATCATGTTCATTTAAATCCGAAAGAAAAACGATGTTAAACGTTGCAAGCCATGGAGTTATTGCTTCGTTACATGTAAGCGAATCAGTGAGCGAAAATGTCATCAAATCACTTGTGTATCCCGGAACTGCAATCCACACATTCCAATCATAACCCGTTCGGTGAATAGAACGCTCCTGAATACACGACATACCGACTCCGCAGCACCCTGCAAGAAAGCTGCAGATCTCGCCACCATCTGAGAGCGCCCACTTTCCTCCTCAATCTCACATATTTCACGCGAGCCAGCCGTGCCACAGACCAGCCAAGCCACGGTCCCGTGACGGCGATAAAATGCCAGCTCTAATACACTCAGCCGGTTGGCGTGCGGCCCCACAGCACGAAGCACCCCGTTGGCAAGATAAAACCTCCCCTGGCCCAGGTCTGCAGTCTATGCAGATATTATGCCCCGTCAGGACACCAACCGCAGTGAAACGCAAAGCTATTCACGTACTCGCGGTGGTTTCCATGGCAACCAGCCATGTCTCTGGTGCCCACAGCATCGTCAACCGAACACCATGTTTGGATATTATGCAGTGTGCGACGCAGGTGTTCAGGAAGCGACATAACCATGTTGCACTCGGTCGTCCTGCCTGGTTTTTGGTGTAAATCGGTGCTTGGTCGCGCCGGTATTGCCCCACGGGACAGCGATTTCAGCACCGCAGCGACCAGCCGTTTCTGGGATAACACGGCACGCCACCTGGGTCCCAAATGCAGCTCCAAGCACAAACACGGGCCCGGCTGTGTTCCCCGCTCCTCTGCGACTACCTACCCGGCGGTAACTGGCGTTATTTGGTACGGTTCCACACACCTCACTGGAAGAGTGCCGGTCACTCGGGGTGACCCCGCGCCGCCCGGTCAGGTCAGCAGGGCGGCTCACCGGACGGGGGTCGGCCCAGGTCGGGCAGCGGGTCGGGCCGGACCTCCTCCGCTGCCGCCGCGCCTCCCAGACTGGCCGAGAGGGAGCGCAGACTCCGCACACCGGACGTCAGCTGGCTGAAAGGCACATAAGGAAAATGGTAACTGGGATGTATACCTGGGCTCGACATCAGTCATGCACTTCGATGAAACGGTATTTTCTTTTCAAGTCGGTTCGTCAGGCAAATATAAATGAAAAAGGTGTGCTTGCTTCCGTAGAATAAGTCTCGAGAAAACAATGAAGGGTTTCCATGCCACAAAAAGTCCTACATAACCTTCAGTTATGTAAGCTTCGGAGCCACTGTGGGAAAACAAACTGCAGTCTGCAGTACCACGAAATCTCACGCGAAGATCCTTGGCACCGAAAGACCTAACCCCCCCCCCCTCCCCCCACACATACATACACACGCAGCCCACTGCAGTTACTACTGACCTAATCAGCTGCTCAGCGCTGGCGGCCGCCTGCTCCATCTGAGCGGCCGCCTGCTGGGCGGAGGGCACGGCGCCGGCGCGGCGGCGCAGCTCGGCGTTCTGCGCGCGCAGCGAGCGCACCTCCTCCTGCAGTCGTCCCTCGCCTTCAGGTGACGCTGGGGGTGGTACTGCCGCCGCTGCTGCTGTGCTGTCTAGCTGAGCCTGCAGCACGCTCGTCCTGTCCGAAGCGGGGGAGGGGCCGGTTAGTCGGCGACGAGAGATAACGGAAAGGTTAAGGCTGGCTGATAGAGAACTGATGCGTGAATCCTCGAGCGGTACTCCTTCTCCTTCCGTGACCTGTGGGTTCTTATGTAACACTGGATGGAGCGACCTTTCGTAACCCCTGGGCGATACCCCTGTACGCCACCTTTGGTCTGTAACCCTCCGTGAATGAACCCAACGGTACCCCTACACCAGCTGGCCACTGCAGCCCGTAACCGATCAGTCTGCCCCTCTCCCTTCTGTGCCCGGTGATCCGCTCCATCCCCTCACCGTGTTCGCTCGTGCTGCAGCTGCTGCTGTAGTCGCTCCACGTCCCGTCTCAGACCGGCGTTCTCCAGTTCCAGCTGACCAGAGCAACAACAGACGAGTTTAGTCACACTCCCCGTCCCACAAGAACTATCAGAAAGATAATAGCTCATAACCATTATGTTTAAAACCAAAATTCCGCCCCTGCGTCGTTTCACAGATCTCAAACTGAGTTTACTGATCGCCTATTTCAGTCATCTAAAAAGAGCTCGCTGCACTTTCTTCTCACATCCTCTAGACACTCCTCAGTCACTAGTGGCACTACTACACTCCTCTTTCTGTCTGCCATCCCCTTTCCCGCTGCCGCGTCCATCTCCTGTCTCGCTCACCCTCTGTATCCGCTGCTGTGATCCCTCTGCATGTCCCACCGCTGGCCTCAGCCTGGCCCCACCGGCACCGGCGCCGACCACGTCCCGGTGAGGTCCCTCAGCGGCGCCGGCCGCGTGCAGCGTGCCCATCGGACCGTCGGACAGGAAATCGGGCAGACCCAGCGGCTGGCCGGGCGGCACGGCCGCCGCGCCGCCCGCAGCAGCTGCTGCTGAGGACGATGGTACCTGGGGGAAGCCGGAAGGTAGATGATGAAAGTATAATAAAAATTATTTCAGCCGACAGTCGAGCGATTTTGTATTCTTCGTAAGACAAAGTAATGTTATCATTGCATCACTGCATACTTTCATGACAATTCAGCATAAAATATCTACACAAAGCATGACCGTTTTATATTACTTACTGGGAAATCTCAGAACTCTCAGAAGAAATGTAAAACGTTAGTCATGTTACCCACTGACAAAATTCCAATCCATCCATCGTAACGGACCGCTCACCTTCCTGCGCGTGCCTGTAGCGGCGGCGGCGGGGGACTGCCAGTCGCGCGGCTCCCGCGCCGCGCCGGCCTCCGCCGAGGGCGCCAGGTGATCGGGGAGGGCCTGTACGAGCTCCGGGAGACCGGCGGCCACGTACGGACGCGCCGCGCCGCCGCCGGGCGGCTCCAAGAACCGGCGGAACGACAGCGGCGCCTCTCCGCCGCCGCCGACGGCACCGCCCACCGCGCCGCCGCCGTTACCTACGCGTGGGTGGGGAGGGGTGGTCAGCTGGTGTTTGGTGTATTGAGAGATTGCTGTAACCTTGTCTATTTGATTTAGTCTTTATTTGGAGTTTTGACACATGACACCAGTCACACACAGCCCACAGGCATACAGGCCCTACGGGTGAATTTGATCAACAGATGCATTGTTGTTTTTGTTTGCAATTGTTTCAGCACTCCAGTACAATTCATCCACATTCCAATACCTTGACCATGGTTCACAGACTCATCGCTGGGCAGACCCAGATCAGGGACAAATGGTGATGGCTCCTCATTTTGACCATCCTGATTATCTTCACCATTATCCATCTCTGAAATACAATGACACAGTTAATGAAACACATTAGAGGTGACCAAAGAGGATCACATTCAAAGAAACCCACCTCCCAATGAGGTAAACAGTTCACATTGGTTTCCATCCATAAACCATGGAACAGATTATACATTCCTGATTCCATGCAATGAAGCTGAACACAGAACCAGTATATTTTACAGGACATCAGCATAATCAGAAATAAGTGAGAAATCATAGTCGGTATGCTTCTATTAAAAAATTGTGGTTCATCAGTCACAGTTTTCTCGTCATCATGCCTATGGCTTGTTAGGTGGCTGGTTATTCTTATTCTCAACCTCTCGCAGGTAACAAATGTGTAGACACTCAACAACAGTGAGAGACCAAGAAAAAGCAACAAGTACTTTCTGAGCTTACATGAATGGCAGAAAGGGCCGCATGCTCATAGCTCATGACTCATGAGGGATCAGGATGCCCAGTGGCCGCCACCAAACGCGGGAAACACCCAGAGGCCGGAGCACATCATATGATGCATAAAATTTAAGAATCCATGTGCCTTCTGGTGATTAAAATTATCAAGTATATGCCTAGGACCAGAATCTAATGAAATAGTAATTTATATTGGGAAAAAAATCTAGATTCACTGGGCACCAGAGAAAAATGAAATCACAAAATGTAAATCAAAATGTAATTCAATACTAACGAGCCTCAGGGGCGGATCCAAGGGGGGGGTCACATGGGTCATGGCCCCCCCTTGAGGCCCGGGGGCCCAAAGACCTGCCAGGGGCACCACCGGCCTATCAGGGGTATCACAGTCCTGACAGGGGCACCACAGGACCGCCAGGGGCACCACAGGCCTAGCAGGGACACCACGGGCCTGGTGGCCCTGGGCCCTGACAGGACTGTAACGCCCCTGACAAGCCTGAAGTGTCCCCAGCAGGCACGTGGTGCCCCTGACAGGCCTGAGGTGCCCCTGCAAGGCCGGTGGTGCCCCTGGCAGGCCTGTGGTGCCCCTGGCAGGTCTGTGGTGCCCCTGGCAGGTCTGTGGCGCCCCTGGCAGACCTGTGTTGACTGGTGCCCCTGCTAGGCCGCTGGTGCCCCTCACAGACCTGTGGTGCCCCTGGGCCTTGACAAGCCTCAGATGCCTGGCTATGACAGGCTCGTGGTGCCCCTGATAGACCAGTGGTGCCCTTGCTAGGCCTGTAGTGCCCCTGGCAGGCCTGTGGTGCCCTTGCTAAGCCTCTGGTGCCCCTGACAGGCTTGTGGTGCCCCTGGAAGGACTGTGGTGTCCCTGGGCCATGACAGGCCTGAGGTGCCCATGACAGGCTCGTGGTGCCCTTGCTAGGCCTGTGGTGCCCCTGGCAGGCCTCTGGTGCCCCTGCTACCCCTGCGCCCGGAGAGGACTATGGTGCCCCTGAAAAGCCTGAAGTGCCTCTCGACAGGCCCGTGGTGCCCCTGACAGGCCCAAGTTACCCCTGCGAGGTCGGTGGTGCTCCTGGTAGGCCTCTGGTGCCCTGGCAGGTCTGTGGTGCCCCTGGCAGGCCTTTGTTGACTGGTGCCCCTGCTAGGCCACTGGTGCCCCTCACAGGCCTGCGGTGCTCCTGGAAGGACTGTGGTGCCCCTGCCCCTAGGGGTGCTCATGGGCCCAACAAGCCCGTTGTGCCCCTGACAGGCCTGTCGTGTATACTTGCAAGACCTGTGGTGCCCCTGCTTCATGGCGGGCCTGTGGCGCCCCTACAAGGCCGTAGGTGCCCCTGACAGGTTTGTGGTGTCCCTGGAAGGACTTTGGTGCCCCTGACAAGCCTGAAGTGTCAAGGACAGACCCTTTAGACGCCAGGGTCAAGTTCGTCGGACTGACAACGATTCGCTTACCTGATAACGCTCCTGGTAAGTACTCACTACTCAGCGTCCACAACATATACACACATAGCACATTCATATATACTTGCTTACAATTGGTAAATTGAAATGTGGTTGTGGCTAAGAGTTAAGATACTGACTAAAAATAAAAAAGAAAAAAAACTGAAAATGGGGGCACCACCAAAATGAAGTGGACGAAATCCGCTGAGTTTTTAATTTTGGGTATAGGTAGGGGCACCACTTCGATTCATGACCCTCCCCTTGGAGTATTCCTGGATCCGCCCCTGACGAGCCTCGATGAATTCTGCGTGGGATCACGCTAGGTGTTAAGTAAATATTAAATAAAAAATACCACTCACCGACTTCTTGAAGTTTCAGTTATCCAAAAGTATCCTCCCCCTCATCAAAAGTCAAAAATCACAAATGTACATCTGTTGTTTGTGATTCACAAACTGTCCAAGATAAAATTGCTTCCATATTTCAAAACTCTTCGCATCCCTTCATCGCTGCAAAAAGTTAAGTACGAACTTTTCTTTTTTCTTTTTGAATTAAATCAAATTGCATGAAATAAATCAGTAAAACATTGGGAATAATTAATTTATTATAATTTAGCTAAATTTTATGCTGAAACTGCTTCTCAGTTTCAAAGCAAAGGATAATTGGAATCTTGGATTTAAAGTTTTTAGAAGATTTTCCTTATGGTAGCGTACATTTGTGTGTCAAAATGGCGCAAAAGATCCAATTCTAATAAACAAATGCACGCCAAAAAAAAAAAAAAACGCCCTGCATGCACGCCGGTCTGATGAGAACATGCTTCTGAACTTTTATTTTTCAAAAATAGAGGTACGATTTCAGTCTATAACCTATTCACTAAGGTGTGCAAAAATAGTGGGAAATTGGGCTACAGCCTTGAGTTACCTACTTTGACTTGATGTTGACCCTTGTTTCAGTTTTGATTAATTCAGATATACATTGAGGTAGCCAAACAAAGTTGAAGTAGGAATTTAAATAAAGCTATTTCAATTTTAATCATAAAATGCTGCCCGTGGACTCTTGACAGAATTTTTGTATTGACTCGCATCGCCGCTCTCATCCATGCTTTCTTAAGTTTGCAGGACAAGGAATCCAGAAACTTTGATCTTTGGTGACCCACCTAGTTGCACTTGGTGGGTCACCTGTCTCCAAGCAATATGCAATATGCATGGATCCATTACACTGATTAGTGATTATCCATTATGATCGAGCACCCATTCTTCCCATGGCCTCTGGTACTCCATGATCTAAGGGGTATGGTGCTAGAAGTTTCTTATCCATGATGCTTCATGATCCATCATGATGCTTCATGATCCATCATGATGCTTCATGATCCATCATGATGCTTCATGATCCATCATGATGCTTCATGATCCATCATGATGCTTCATGATCCATGATGCTTCATGATCCATGATGCTTCATGATCCATGATGCTTCATGATCCATGATGCTTCCTTATCCATGATGCTTCATGATCCATGCTGCTTCATGATCCATGATGCTTAATGATCCATGATGCTTCATGATCCATGATGCCTTAAGTTGTGATCTATGATGCTTCATGATCCATGATTATTTGTGATCCATGAGTTATCACCCATGATCAATGACACTTTGTGAGCCATGATCAGTCAGTGGCTGTGTCTCTTTAGTTTTACTTGTACCTACTGAACACTGGTGTCTTATGGCTCATAGTGATGCACTCACCATGAGAAGTCTGTACTCTGTACTGCCTGCACCTATCTGCTACTTTGTGTAGGTATTTGCTGTTGTCCTGAAAAAAAAAAAAATGTAGCCATGGTCATTGAGAATGTGGTCAGCATAAACCCCTCAAAAATAATTCACTTGTTTTATATTCTACAGGTATCAAAATGGCTGAAGGTCCTGCCCCAGAGCCAGTGCTTACTGGCAAAAACATCAGCTTTCTGGAGCTCACTTCAGAAAGAGCAACTGAGATTCAGCGACTTACAGATGCTATTGGTAAGCAGCTTTCCTCAGACAATGGTGAATTTTTCTGTCCATCAGACATTTGCTTTGAAATATGAGCATAGCCTGGGGCTTAATTGCAAGCCTAAAACTTATATTTTCTGTGGTGATTTCAATTTCACAAACATATGGGGATCCTATTGGTGTTGTAGTAATGTGTTATGATAAGTCAACTAATCTGAATTTTTAGACAGCATCTAACCATGCTCACCTATTGCTTTCCACATTCTTCCTATACCTCAAGAGGCTATATTTACAGTCACTCCTTCACGGCTACTACACATTCGCCTGCTGATAAGTGTCGCGTATCTCGCGCAGATAACCCGAACCGAACCAAGATGGTGTACCAGCGTCTGCCGAGGCACATGCAGCGACGCGCCATGAGCCACGACCCCAAACGTCTGCCGGTCAGGGCGCGCCAGGCCTTCACCGAACAGGTGAGGCCCGGCTCGGTGACCTCCGCCGCGAGATTTCGGGTGTATTTCTCCGCGATTTGTGGCAGTTTTCCGCGCGATGTTGGATGGTTCGCCGCATTTATGTTTAATTGTTCATTTTTTTACTGTCGGGGATAAGTAGTGACCGTGCCTGTACTGTAAAAAAACTTCCTTAGATATGGATCTTGTGGATTAGTTTCAATATTAACACCGCCTTCCCCCCTCGTTCCAATTTGCAGCGCGACTTGACGCAGATGAAGGTCTCAAAGCGGCCCAGTCGGCGGCACCGGCGGCGCCCCAGCAACCTTCTGCTCGAGTACAACCGGCGGCAGCGCGAGCACCTCTGGCTGGAGACGCACATCTGGCACGCGCGCCGGTTCCACATGGTACACCGCTGGGGCTTCAAGCTGCCGGAGAGCGCTACTGATAAGGGATTCCGGGCGGCGTACCGCGCCACGGCGCACCACTGCCTGGTACAGGTGAGCGAAGGCTGGACGATGCTGTGGTGAATTGGTGAGCGTGTATGAGTATGTGGGTATGAGTATGAGTATGAGTGGGGAGGAATGAATTAACTGTGAGGTGATGCGTGGAGATTACGCGCAGATAGACTGTTCAGTAATAAGTATGAGTGAAATGCGGGAATGAAAGGATGAATGGATGGAACCAGATGAAGAAGCTAACGGATCAGTGAGCGAATAGCTAAATGATTGAACTTGTATCAATGAATGAGGAGAGATTGAATGAATGAATGAATGAATGAATGAATGAATGAATGAATGAATGAATGTGCGAATGAATGAATGAATGAATGAATGACCGGAAAGGAATTGAATGAATGAATGAATGAATGCTCGAACGAATATTCTTATTGTTTGATCCTGATGGGAAATTATTGAAAGAATACATTTTTGATGCCACCAAGTGTTTCTCGACTGTCAGTTGCCGTAAATTTGCGGAACTATCGTTAACCTCCCTCTCTCCGCCGCCCCTCAGGACGTGTCCTACCTGTGTCAACTGGAGCTGTCCGGCCCTCAGTCGGCCCTGCTGTCAGCTCTAACCTCTCTATCGGCCGGAGGTGCCGGCTCGGCGCGCCTCCTCTCCGGCCGTCACCAGGGCCGGCTACTACTGCGCTCATCCGACCCTCCCCACCGACCGCTGGCGCCCGTCTCCATACTGTGGGGACCGGCGGACGGTGCGCCGCGCCGGGCCCTCTGGCTGTGGGTCCACCCGGCGGGCTATGACGCGGTGAGAGACGCGCTGGTGGCGGCTATTGGAGCCTCAGGAGAGCCGGAGGAGGTGGAAGTGGAACAGATGGGACCGGGAGAGGATGGTGGACATGAGGGAGGCGATGCTGCAGCGGCAGAGGAAGGCGATAAAGGAGACGGTGCTGGAGACAAAGGCGGCAAAGACGAAGTTGAAGGTGAAGAACCCATGGAGTGCGATGATGCTACGCCAGCCGGTGATGTAAAAACCCCGGCAGCCAAACCCACCTCAAGTGCAGCAGCGGCAGATACGGCCTACAAGAAGAAAAACGTCGACCAGATCAAGCTTGCTCCTCGACGCTTGCATATCCTTCGTCGATGGACTGCGAAGCCGAAGACCACCACCGGCAGAGCCGACATTCCTGCGGGCACAACTGACACCGACACTGCTGCAGACAATAAAGACACCACCACCACCACTAGTACCCCTGTACATCTGACCGAGCTGAAGGGCCGCATGGTTCGGTTCCGTCTCAGCGGGCCCGGCTCTCAGGCGGTCCTCCAGTCCTGTCTTCGTGTGGCCGCCGACCCACCGCCGGCCTGGGACACTGCCGAGCGGCTGGAGGCCCAGCGGCGGCTCTGGAAGGCTGTTGGAGAGGCCACCTCTCCGGGAGAGCTGCCCCCGGGGTGTGTGATGGGGCTGACGGTGGATGATCCCAGGAGGCACCTTCCGCAGCAGCGCACCAAGGCCATTCAGCGGCCCGAAGGTAGGATACAGGACAGGCAGGCTGTGTGGGATCCTTCCTGTTACGGGAGGCATGTTGCTTACATATCCCAAGCGTGTCAGCAATGACAGCTATGTCAGCTAGTCACTGTTGAGCCAGTTCAGTGGAGTTAATTGGTTGATTGGGTACGGATCGCTTTATCTGCGAACTAGGATGTGGTCTCGCGATTCGTTCGTTTGTCCATTCTCCATTCGTTTGTCTTTGAGGGGCCGGATCTTATTACTAAGTGTCGTCTCCGTTTGCAGAGCTGTCGGACGAGCCCGTGGCGGAGCTGCCGGCGGGCTCCGAGCTCTCTCCTCTCTGGGACGAGTCGGTCCGACACCAGGTCACCACCACCAAACTCTCCGACAACCTTCTGAACCGAGCGCGCGGCCACCTGCTGGTACCGGGCGCCACAGCCGAGTCACTACGCCTACCGCCCGTGCCGGTCATTCTCCTGCAGAATCACCGCTGCCCCGGCTGGGACCTTCTGCTGCCGCCAGGCTGGGGTATGGCCTTCTGGGTAGCCCTGCAGTACTCAGGTGCTCGAGCCGGCGGGCTCCGGGAGACAGAGCGGATGGCGCTAGAGACTGGTGAGCTGCGCTTCCCGGCAGAGTACCCCGACTCGGCTGCAGGGAGAGAGTGGGAGAGAGAGGACAGACAGAGGAGGAGAGAGGAGTACTTCAAGAGACCGCCGGCCAAGAGGCCCAACTTTGTGAAGCTGGGTGTGCCGGATCCGTTCAGTTGCTGGTGGAGTCGCCTGGTGACGCGGCTGTGCCCGGTTGAGGGTGGGACAGCGGCCGCGGACTCTGACACTCCTATGGTCTGTCGGGACCCGGCCACGCTGCGGCTGCTCTCCGCCGCTCTGACGGCTGGCTCCGGCCGTCCGGCTGCCCTCCCGGCCGGCAGCGGTCGTCTCCTAGTCGCCGTCCGGGCCCGAGCCACCGGCCGCGGCGTGCCCCGTTCCGGCGCTCTGCTCTGCCTCCCCTCACCTGAAGACAACCCGTCAGCGGGCGCGGCGGCCGGCGCTGTGAGGCCGCTTACCGAACCGCCGGCGGAGGACCCCGCGGAGGAACGCCGCGATAAACTGCGGACCGCCTGGCTGAAGAAGCAGGTTACAGAGAAGAGGAAACGCCACCGGTGCCGACGGCGCCAGCAGGCGGACCAGGCGCGCCAGGCGGCGGCGCGCCTGGCGGAGCAGCGGCAGGGACAGAGGACAGAGATGGAGCGGCTCAGCCTGCCGCCGGCAGACCTGCAGCCGCACAAACAGGTGGGCACTGGGCACTGTGCAGGGGCGGCGGGCGGCGGCTGGGTTCACGGGCGTGGGACGATCTGAAGGAATTGGGAAAGCCAGTTGGGCATTCTGAGAGATTCAGTCGTCGCTAATTGGCGGTAAGACAGCACCGTGTTCAGGTTGATGGGTAGTGTGTGAGGTTTGTCCTAAGCAGAACTTTATCTTAATGGCATTGACCGTTGATCTCATTCGCGTGTATCCCCTAATCTGACCACTCCCCTTTTCGTCCCCAGCTGATCGGTCACGTGACCTCTGGCGACTTCTGTCTGTCGGAGGCGGTCGGCCGGGGCACGGGGTTCGTCGTGTTGGAGGGTCTGCTGCGACTCCTTGACATCGGCGGCGGGCCGCGGCTGCTCTTCAGAAACATCGACACAGACACGTACCGCTGGTGTACTCTGACGCTGATCACAGAGCCGTGCTGACGAGGGCGACGTCAGTGATGAGTCAGTGATGTGGGTGATGTTGCTATTGAGTGGTGACGGCATCAGTCAGAAGTGCTGGGACTTGTGGTGGCGCAGATATGGATGTTTCGCTCAGATTCCGAGGCATAAAATTTTCGACAAATGTATTTGATTGAAATAAAAAGAAACATACCTTTTTGACGAGATTGATTTTAGCGCTGATGTAAGACTTACGAGAATTGGTGGCAGTTATAGGCGTGGAAAAAAGCGGCGGGCCATAGACCTCTAGGAAGCATTGGTAGCAGACGAAACGTGGTCGATATTATCAGGAGCCAGCCTTTCGCACGGCTAAAGCCCAACGGTAAATACCCAACAAACAGCATCGGCATTTTCTCCAGATTCATACATTATCAAGAAACGCAACAGAATCATCACACTCAGCCAATAATTTCTCTCGTACAATCACACCAATCATGCCAGCCGGCCGGCCGGTCCGCCGCGCCTATCAAAACGCCCGATTATGCACAATATTGTAGGCAAGTTTATTTCAAACTTAATTTCAACAGAACCTAATACCCCAAAGCTGTATACACTGGCAGGTACACATCCCGACATAAAATCTAGTGGGAGGGGCGCACGTTCTCGACAGTCACTACCGTACCACGGAGACTACCACTGAAAGGCACGGAAAGTTCAATCATAGCCGAGCAGCGTACGACATCAACGACAATCGATTTTGCATGAAGGGATGGGTGGCCGGGCGGGCGGGCGGGCGCGGGTCGGGCGTCGGCCGGCTCCGCTGGGGAGCGGCTCCCGGCTCCGGGCCGCCGCGCCGCCCCGGCCGGCCGGCCGGCTCGTCATTACACAGGCTATGTACAGGGCACCGGCCGGCCGGCGGACGGGCGGGCGGCGCCGAACGGCGGCCGGTCACCTGACGAACCGACGGCCACCCCTCCAGAGCTGGGCCGGTGTAAGTGGGGCAGGGTAGGCTGCGCTCGAAACCAAGTTCACTTATATACATATAAAAATTAACACAACTAGTAAAACAAAATCATACAATATCATACCATACTCCTCTCCTGAGCAACTGCATGTGCGAGGAATCCAAACCAAACTAGGATTTATGAAAATCACTCCCGATTACAAAATTAGCATGTGTAGACCCCGGGCGGCAGTATACGCTTCAGCAGTCGACGGCTTAAAACGGGGGGCGCGGTGGCAGCGGCCGGCCGGGCGGCGGCAGCAGCCGGCGGACGGCTCGCGGGCCGCCGCCAGCTCCGCGCCACGCGCCCTACTCCGCGCCACGGGCGGTCGCAGCCGCGGCCGAGATCGAGTCCGGCCAACAGAGCACGTGCAACGACACACGTGCGCGAGCACGAGGAGACCGGGGGAGGGGAAACGCGCGACCGGAGGGGCGACAGAGGGGACGGGGCGGGGCGGGGCAGAGTACAGCGACGAAGAGACAGAGGCGGGGACAGGCAGACAGCGGAGCGACACAACCCAGTCAGATGGCAAAATCCTCAACAACTCACAGCCCGTCTATGTACAACTCAATCCACACTGACGGCTGCTGGCGGCGGCCGCGCCGCGCGGCAGTCCCCATCGGCCGCGCACGGCACTCGTCAAAAATAAGCCACCAGCTCTGTCACTCGCTCACTCGCTCACCGGCTATCTCACTCTCTCACACAATCGGCGGCCGGTATAAATAGGCGCGCCCGGCGGGCGGTGGCGACGCGGGCGAGTCACCCGGCGGCGCGGGCCGTCGGCCGGCGCGTCCAGCGCTGAGCAGTTCGGCCGCCAGTTTTTGATTCGTTTGGCACACGCACACGCTGGTGGGCGGCGGACGGGGAGCGGCGGTGGCGCCAGCGCCTCCCGCACAACCATCGGCGACTAGTGGGAGCCGGCCGCCGAGCCGCCCCGTGTCACTCTCTCCCTGCCGGCCGGCGCTCGCTCGCTCGCACAGGCGCACGCTCGCAACAGTAGATATCCCTAAGTGAGGCACTTGTCGTCTGGACGCCGGCGGCGTGCCGGGCTCACCGGCGTCCCGTCTCTCTGGCTCTCGCGCGCTCCTGCTCCTCGTCTTCCTGCGGCGCGGACGGCCGCCGCCGACTCCTGACCCGACGGCCGGCCGGCCCACTCACCGAGCACGCGCGTGTCGCATCATCACAGGCGCCAGCCGCCTCCCAATTGAGAAACGTCGATTGCACAATGGATCACTAGTCTGCGGACTGGTTAGATATATCACTTGGGCGAGCGGGGCCGCTCGGGCTTCCTGAAGGGCGGCCGCTCTATTCGCTCGTCGGCCGGCCGGCGGCGCTCGTCGCGCACCTCCCTGTAGTCTGTGCGCGGCGGCTCGCGGCCATCCCGCGCCAACTCCCGAGTGTCCCGCAGCTCCCGGCCGTCGCGCGGCTCGACGGCGCGCGCCTCTCGCGCGGCAGGCGGCTCGCGGTAGTCGCGCGGCTCCCGGCGCACCATCCGCTCCGGCTTATCCATCAGCGGCCGTCGCTTGTCGTCTCCGGGCTTTCCTGGAAAACGGACAGAGACTCGGGTTAGTTCACGAACACGGGCAGAACATCGGAGGATAACGAGTACGAATAACAGGAAGTGGTAGCAGGGCCAACCATCCTAAAGGCTCTATAGCTGAAACACCGAGGCTGGATCTGTGCGAGAAAAAGAGAAGACTCATGTGCCCAAAGGCCAAAGCCCGCAACAGATTATGCATCAGACGACGGAAAGTATGGTGCCTGAAATATTAAATGCTAATTACGACCCTAGACTTTGCGGCGATTCTGATGGCTAATTACGTCAAATTACAGCGTGTCACTCACTCGCGCTGTTGGAGCGTTGCACGGCGTGCGAGGGCTGCGACTGCGCCTGGCCGGCCGCCGCCGCCGGCTTGGCGGCAGCGGCGGCCGCCTTCTTCTCCTCCTCCCGCTCCTTGACGTCGCGCTCTTTGACCTCCTGGGCGAGTTTTTCGTTCTTTTCGCGGCCCCGCTGTGCCATCTGTGCGTAGCTAACGGTGGCAGCCGGCGCCAGCTGGATACGCCGAGAGGGGGCGGCGGTTAGTAACGGAATACCCCGGCAACACACCTCCAGCCGTGAGCATCGGCATCATCACCGAACGAAATAATAATACCTCACTAACGACCAGCGAACACAACACCCTTACTAATGAACCGCGAACAGACAAGCATTCTGTAAGAACAACTGCACGATAATCCACGGGTCAGGTAGGCAAAACCGGTGTGTTCGGTAAGTGCAACTTTGGGTACGGATTAAGAAACAGCGGCGAGAGCACGAAAATATGACGGAGATTAGCCGCCACAGCTGGCTGACGAAGCTCTCACGGAGCTTTGCCCACAAGTTACGGTTCATCTCGTGACACAACACAAACCCCTCAACCTGACTGACTAGAAGGTGCTAGACTAACAACAATCAATAATCCTTTGTTATTCGTGGAAGCAGTTTATCAGCCATAAACTCCTTATCAGTATTCCTAGAGAGGACAGCGACTGACGAGGGGATATCGATACCACCTTCATGATTATCCCCAGTCCCGTACATTGTCCCCAACGACCGGAGACTCAGCCAATCCCCGCCCAAATCCCATCACCACCCTCAGCGGGTTATGTAGTTCCAGAATACGTCCCATTAGCCCCCTAATTGGCCCGTTAAGTCTGTCCCGTTCTCCCCGTCGTCTTACCGATCCGTCGGCGGCCTCAGCGGTCGTCTCGACGTCTGTCCGCTCGGACGGCGCACCAGACTCCTCCGGCGTCGGCTCGGGCCGCTCCTCCGTCCTCTTCGGCTTGGCCGCACTGGGACGGCCAGAGGTCAGGTCAAACGCGGGGGCACGGGACCGCAGCGGCCAGCGCGCCTGTTCACGACAGTCACGGCGTCAGGCTGGTGAAACACGAGCCAAAACGACAGCCTCATCTTGCATCAAAACTATTAAACTAAAGAAAGGAAGTAATTAACTACATTTTAAGCTGGTCAGTCAACATGGCATTAAACTATAATAAGTGTAAATAAATGCAAGACGTATCCAAGCTATTGCAGCCAAAGACAGCTGAAATATTGAACACGTCACATCCCCATGCATGACTGGCAATCAGCCAGCATCCAAGCTCACCTGTTTGACGCGCCGGCCCCCTGAGTGGCGGGCGGTTTCCGCGCAGCAGCCGGCTGCGGCGAGGGCGGCTGTTTTCGGACGGCCGCCGCCGCCGTCGGCGCCGGCTGGGGCGAGGCGGGCGCCCGGCGACCCGCCGCCGCCGGCTGCGGAGAGCTGGCCATCTTTCTGACGACGCTCGGCTGCGGCGACTCGGGGCACGGCCGCGCCGACGGCGGCGTCGGCGGTTTTCGCTCGTGCACCCCGCCGTTGACCATGGGCGTCTCAGCGGCCGGCGCTGAGGAGGGGGCGGTGGTGGCGGTGGTGGCGGCGGCCGGCGCCGCTTTGTCGCGGCTCTCGGCGGCCGGCTCGGGCAGCGCCGGGGAGTCAGGTCTTGAGGGTTGTTTGCCGCCTGTCGATGAGGATTTGGCAGGCGCTGGCGCTGCCCGAGCGGTGCCTTTCACCACGTCGGCCAGCCGCGACTCGAGTCCAGCGGCGGCCGGCGGTGGCGGGGGCACGCGCGGCGCCTCACCCTCCTCCTCGGGCGGCGAGGAGGCGTCACCCGGCGGCGCGCCCGGCAGCGGCGGGAACATGGAGCCGCCCAGGTCAAACTCGGGCCCCACCGGCTTCACGAGCGGCCGCGGCTCGGCCGGCGGCGCGCCGCTCGCCGGCCGCTCCTTGGCTGCAGAGTGTGAGCCGCCCTGACCGGAGCCGGCCTTGTTGGGGCCGGACGTGTGCGCTCGCGGCTCGTCCTCCCGCCGCCGCGGCCGCCGCGAATTGTACGGTCGGGACGGCCTCTGTTCGCGCCCCTCCGACTGACTGTGGTGCCGCCCGGAGCCGTACGAGCCGGACTCGTCCCGTTTGCCGTCCCCGGCGCCGGCCGAGCCGCCGCCCGACCCCGAGCCGCTACCCAGCTGACTAGAGGAGGAGCCGGCCAGCTGGTAGGCCGAGACGGAGGCCGGGCCGGCGCCGCCGTGACCGCCCTCCGACCGGCCGTAGTCGTTGCTGTAGCTGCGCGAGTGCGAGCCGCGTGAGCCGCGGCCGTTCGGGTAGCTGTGGCCGCCGCTGCCGCCGCCGCCGCCCGGCGGTAAGCTCT